GCCGAAGGCAGACGCTTAACGACTGAGCCACCCAGGCGCCCCGGAACTGGGGTCATTTAAAAGTAATGTGCCAGTTTCTGATACATAGTGGATTCTCAGTATTCACTGAAAGAATGAACGAATCAACAAACAAGTATGCTTTACCCTTAGTCTTAGGATTATATACATCTTTTATAGCCCCGTGGCACTGGCTCACAGTTGGCCTTAGATTTTTCCTTGAGTCTTCCCTGTCACATCATTTTTTTTTTTTTATATGGGTTTGGGGTGCAGGAGGAGAGATCGAGGCAGGGTAGAAGGAAGACAGTTGGGAGGCACCAAGGTGGGTATTTCTGTATCTTGTGACCCAATGGTGAGTGTGCAGCAAGACCATGGCAGAGAATGAGCCCTGTTCTCTGAGTGTGAAAGCTGCCTCTAACTCCCCTAGACCATTTGAACACAAACAATGACCTGAAAGTTCATTCTCCCCCAGTGGGCTGACTTGTTCGGAGACTGGTTTGATGCTTCTCCCTCCCTGGGGACTGATGGAGTATGGCTACCATGGACCATGTTGTTGAGTCTCTCTGGGGAATGGGGAACCCTTTGCCAAGTCTTTGTCCCCACAACAGCCTTTTGAAACTTGTGATAGGCAATCAGAGAGGAATGATTCATGAAATCGGTCATTTTTCCCATTCACCGAATGGGACTAATGAAACATTTGTGCAGGCCCACATCAGAGTTCATATAGTTCCCAGGCATTGAGATCTACCCTGGGAAGGCCCAGTCAGCTTTCCAAACGGTCCATAGCATGCCTCCAGGACCTCAGCCAAGCGGTGTGGCCTTATAGTAGCAGGGAGTCTGCTTTGGTGACTCTCCAGAGTCCTCTAGTGATTCCAGTGAGAACCTTTTCTCTGGTTCTGAAACCCCTAACTCTGGCCTTGGGTTTCTGAGTTTCATTTCCTGCTGTGTTACAGCAAGTAAGGGGGTGGAACAGAAGCAAAGACTCTGACGTTGCCCTTGCCTGGTGAAAGGTTGCGAGTAACCTGGGTGTTAGGTCTGCGGTAACAGTTCATCTTAACCGCAAGAGCGTGGTACTTACTCTACACCACAGCTTCCAAAGCCCCCTCCTGCCTGTTATCCCATGTCCTTGTCCTCGTGTCATCCTTGTGATACGCTGGGGGTGGGGAGACCAGAGGAGGAGTAGAGGTGATTGCCACGTCTCAGTGTCTCAGCAGATCAGTACAATGATCAGGGCCTCCCCATCCTGGCTTACCTGTGGGCTGCCGGCCACTTTAGGTGAGGGAGGTCCACAGTGGAGGAAGTGAGTGGCTGCAGGTAGAAGTAGCTACTGACGCCTGTCAGCTGTACCAGGCTTAGTGAGGGGTTCTGGCATCTCTCACTGGTGCTGGTGATTAGTCGGATTGGACCCACAAAGTAAGGAGGGACCGCCGCGTTGCTAACAGGCACTGGGTCTCATTTCATTCTGCGTCCTCTGCACTCATCATCTGTACCATGGATTCCATGTGCATGTTTTTCCCAAACAAATTGTTTGGTTTCTTTGGTTTCTGTGACAAAGCCACAGACCGTAGGCCTTTGCAGTGTCTGCCCCATGAAGGCCTGGGCTCATGTCGGCATTGTCTTGGCTCCTTTGACCTGGAACTCGACACACTGTTGTAAAGATCATGGTTTGTGTGTGTGTGTGTGTGTGTGTGTGTGTGTGTGTGTTGGGGGCGAGGTGCGAGGGAAATCACCACAAACACGAACATGTGGTATTTTTAAGTGTTCTCTCTTGGCAGGATGACAGTGCTGATTTGAAGTGCCAGCTTCAGTTTGCCAAAGAGGAAGGCTCCCTGATGCGTAAGAAGATGGCCAAGCTGGGGAGGGAGAAGGACGAGCTGGAACAGGAGCTCCAGAAGTACAAGGCCCTGTATGGAGACGTGGACAGCCCTCTCCCCACGGGGGAAGCGGGTGGGCCACCCAGCACGAGGGAGGCCGAGCTGAAGCTGCGGCTGAAGTTGGTGGAGGAAGAGGCCAACATCTTGGGCCGGAAGATCGTAGAGCTGGAGGTGGAGAACCGAGGCCTCAAAGCGGAGATGGAGGACCTGCGGGTCCAGTATGAGCGAGAGGGTACAGGCCGGGACCACATGGCAAGCATTCCTACCTCACCCTTTGGCGACTCCCTGGAGTCCTCGACGGAGCTCCGCCGGCACCTGCAATTCGTGGAGGAGGAAGCGGAGCTGCTCCGGAGGTCCATATCCGAGATCGAAGATCACAACCGGCAGCTGACGCATGAGCTGAGCAAGTTCAAGTTTGAGCCCCGGCCGGAGCCAGGGTGGCTGGCGGAGGGCATGGGCAAGGGCGCAGCCGGTGGGGCCCCTCTGCAGGAGGAGCTCAAGTCGGCGCGGCTGCAGATCAACGAGCTGAGTGGGAAGGTGCTGAAGCTGCAGTATGAGAACCGGGTGCTGCTGTCCAACGTGCAGCGCTATGACCTGGCTGCCCACCTGGGCCTGCGCGCCCCGAGCCCCCGGGACAGCGACGTGGACAGCGACCAGGGCAAGAAGGAGAGCGACGGGGAGGAAGGCCGCCAGCCCCAGCCCAAGCGGGAGGGCCCTATTGGCGGCGAGAGCGACTCAGAGGAGATGTTCGAGAAGACGTCGGGCTTTGACAGCGGAAAGCCATCGGAGGCAAGTGAGCTGTGTCCGGCCGAGCTCCTGCGGGTCAGGGAGGACACCGAGTGCTTGGCAAGCATAAAGCACGAGGCCGAGCAGCTTGAGCGGACCATGGAGCGCCTCATCACGGACACCGCCGGCTTCGGCGACAACATGGGGCTGCGAGGCAGTGGTGAGGCCTCACTGGGGCCTGACGTCCAGGGGGCAGGGGAGACGGGGGAGACGGGCGAGACAGGCAAGAAGGAGCCCCCGCTGCTGGGGACCATCAACTTGAGGATGAAGGTTTTTAGGAAGGAGCTGCAGGCCTTCCTGGAGCAGGTGAACAGGCTCGGGGACGGCCTGAGGGAGCGCCTGGAAGACCTCTCCCCCTTGCCCCACCTCACAGAGTCTTCCAGCTTTCTCTCCACTGTGACCTCCGTGTCCCGGGACTCCCCCGTCGGGACCCTGGGGAAGGAGCTGGTCCCGGACCTGCAGGTAAGGGGGCTCCTGGCTCTGCCTCCCTGCTCCGTTTTGCTCTTCCTCCTTCTTGCTGGCATTGCTGCACTTGAACTCATCCTGCTCACGGCTGCTTGGTTATGATTTCAAACCTGCATTGTACTAAAGCCTCAAGTGTCAACCAAATCCTTTCTATTGGTTGGGTTTCTGTTTTTTTTTTTTTTTTTTTAGTTTTCTTTTATTCTTGTTTTCTTTTTCCTTTTTCCTCTTTTTTTTTTTTTTTTTTTTTAACTGCGCCGCTGCTCTTGGTTTAGAGGCCCTCCCTCATGACACAAGGCTCACCCCAATGGCAGCAATAGGGATCGACGCAATCCATCCTTTTTCCTTTTTCCTTTTTTTTTGGTGTCTCAAATGACCAGCTATCTCGATGAAGAAGCAGAGGAGTTTAAAACAAAGTACAAACTCATTTCACAGTCAGGACACTTAGCAGACTGGCTCAGGAGCATGTGCATCCCTACCTGGGTTGATGGCCAGAGGGATGCAGTGCAGGTCCGAAAGGCCCTAGGCAGCCAGGCCCATCCGCTCCCACTGGAAGATGAGCCAGAGTGGGGAGAGGAGCCGGCCCGGGAGAAGGATGGCGCTGATGGAGAAAGTAGCTTCCCTCCCCAAGCCGAGGGTGAGGGCGGAGTGGAGTGGCCCTCCAAGGACTGCTTTCCTATGCATCGCCCTTGGGTGCATGACCCAGCTGCCGCCTGGATTATGGCTTTTGCTGCTCGACCACAAGCGAGGAAGGAGGAGCCTTGTTTCCGTATCCTTCATGGGTAGTGTGCTTGCGGTTGAGTCTTTGATTCACGCATCCCCATTGCATGCGCCTCATAACCAGTGTTCTGCCTTCTTCCCCACTCTGTTTCTCTTGTTTGCTTTTCAGATCTTTCAGCCATTGTTTTGCTCATCCTCATTTTGGTTCTGTTCTTGTCCCTCTCGTATGGCACTGTGTCTGTTCATGCTTTTCCTCGTCCGGTGGTGGTTTCCATCGTCTACCTTACATATTTTTGTTTTCTTCAGCACCTCCCCTCCCTGCCCCACCCCTCTTCTCCTTTGTTGTTTATTTAAAATTAAAAACAAAACAAATCCAAATCCCTCCCATGCACCTAACAGTCCAAACTGAGAGGTCAGCCGGAGTGGCAGCCGGGACAGGAGCGTGGGGATGAGCCGGAGCCGCTGCACCGCCGAGCCGACGGGGACGCTGGGAGCTGCCGGCTGGGAGGCCAGAGCTGCTTCAGTCTAGAGGTCAGCGACCACCTGGCCCCACCGGCCAGCAACCCCTGCCCTCCCAACCCTCCTTTGGCTGTGTGGCTGGCTGTGTGGTGTTTCCTACCTGGGTCCAGGGCCCTTAAGGGACATGGTGGGCAGGTATGGAACCAGGCGGGACTCCCCCGAAATCAGAGTCCATTGCATGCGACTGGAATGGGAGGGTCCGCACAGGGTGAATGCGGGCAACCGCCAGCTCCCCTTGTCAGACAAGCATCGTCCTGCCTGTGGACGCCTGGAAACACAGCAAGGCATAGGGGACTGATTCGTGAGTGTTACGTAGCTTTCTGTCAAACAGGAAAGAAAACAGGCATGAAAACCAAGCACTGTCTTTGCTGGGCTGGAGGAAACTGTCCTTCCCTGTGTCTCATGTGGCCTGTCCTGTAGTTTCCAGTGACAGGGCTCCAGCCAGTGGGCAGAATCAGGGCGTGGACTCCCAACCTGGGGGCTCGGCTGCAGCATTCTCTGTTGCCATAGCAACCTCTTGTCAACAAAGCTCCCAGCCCCCATAAAGGCTACCAGAGGGACTCCATCATATGAAACAGTTGTCAGCAGTCCTGTCGGTGAAAGCTCTTCCTGGCAAGTAATTCTACCCATGACAGAGACAGGTGTCACCAAGGAATGAATCCCTGGCTCTGATACTGCTGGTCAAGGCGGGTTATTGCAGGAGTAGGGCACCATGAAAAATTATTTTTTTTAAAGATTTTATTTACTCATTTGAGACACAGAGATACAGAGAGAGAGAGTGAGCATGAGCAGGGAGAGAGGCAGAGGGAGAGGGAGAAGCAGACTCCCCACTGAACAGGGAGCCCGATGTGGGGCTCGATCCCAGGACCCGGAGATCATGACCTGAGCCGAAGGTAGACGCTTAACCGACTGAGCCACCCAGGCGCCCCACACCATGAAAATTCTTAATTCATCAGTCCCAGTAGGGGTGTTACTGCTCAGCTTCAAGGGATCCTGGTGGCTCCCAGACAACAGGGGTGACAAAGACAAGGGACTCACTCCTGTAAGCACACTGAGCTCACTCAGCAAAAAAGTCAGGCATTTGACTAGGAAATGATGCTCACAGAGGCACTTGGGGTAGAGCCGCGCCTGCGCCTTTCCACTCAGCTTGTGGCCAGTGCCTTGATGAGCTGTGGGTCCCACGGTCCCAGGTGGGCACATGGGACTGCTGGCTCACCCAGACCCAAGGTCCCAGATCTCTAGTCTGGGCTCTTCCCTTGTCCTGTAGGAGAGTACGTCACATCTCTACCCTCATTGATTTGGGCACACAGTGACATGAAAACTGCCCTTGAAAAGCTTACATAAAAACAAGTGTGGGTTTAGGGATTGGTGTGTCTTAGATCTCTATGAAACTTCTACAGGAAGCCCCTGTAATCAGCCTGTGCTCCACACATGGGCTTCATCTGAGAATGCTGGTTGCTTTGGCAGTAGCAAACTCACAATTATGTACATTTCAAAAGAATTGAATGATTCGTCTCCAGGATGACACCCTCAGGAAGACAAAATTCCTAGTCTTCAGTGAACACTGCACCACTAGCTCTTTGTAGCAGGGACGCCATGCTGTGCTAGAATCCACTCTGGCAGGGGCATCCGGGGCCCCAGCTCTGTCCATGACCAGCTCTGTTTCTCAAGCAAGTCTCAGCCTCTGTTTTTGCATCTGTGAAATGGGAAGAAAAATACTGTCCTACCTGCCTCGTGTGATTATATGTGGATGATTCTCAGAGCTGAGGAGCTATTGGCTGAGAAAGCACCATGAACAGTGCTTAATGCTGTGTGAACGTAAAGTCTGACTGATAATAAAGAGGGAAGGGTGTCCTGCCATTGAAGATTGCCAAGTGGGAAGGGCTGTCACAGCTCCCCTAGTTGTGGGCCCAATTTCCTCTGCCCACTGTAGCCCTTTCTCATTTTTCCCTGGCTGTTTCCGGATCTACACAAGCACAGCTCTTGCTGAACATGGCAGCCCCGTTCTCTGGGAGAGCAGTTTGAGGCTAACCCCCGCTTCCTTCCCATATGTTCATCACTCAGGGCATGTCACACATCACCTTGTTTAGCTAAACGCTGATAAGATGTTGTTTAACACTGGGGCGTTGATAAGTTTCCCCGTTGCCTGACATACATGCGCATGGCCTCTCGTAGCTTCAGAAACCAGCAACTTTGGAGAGAGAAACCTCGTTCGTTGACTCAAACCGAGTGTTGTGGGAATATAAACCTCCACAAGAGGTAGATTAGCAGAGCTAGCTGGTGCCACGTGGCGACTTGGGATCACTGCACAATACAGCTCAGAAGGGAATGTCAGATCTTCAGGTGAATTCCTCCATTCTGTGAATGAGAAAATGGAGGTCTGAGAGTGAGGCAGCTTGCCAGTAAGCCCCTGGGGGTTTGGTGGGTGAGCTGGGTCTAGAATGGTCTCCCCAGGCCTGCTTCAGCCATCTCCCCACCCTGCCGTGAGGAGCACTGCTCGGAAGAGTGCCGTTCACTCGAGGTCACTCAGGTGACTGACTGCACACCAGCTCTCTTGCCATGCTCTGTTGCTTCCCTTAAACATCTGTTCAGTTTCCTTTAATTTTACGAAGTGAGAAAGTTAAAAAGCTCATGGTGAAAGGCAAGTCCCAGACAACATCATCTCCTAGAAGGGGGAGTAGTATTCACTGGGACTGAAACATCCTTTGTTCTGACTTCTTTATCCACTATGGCATTTCACACAGAAGACTCAATTATGTATGCAAACATGTTGTATTTTTAAATACTTTTTAAAAGACAAAATGTATTCTAGGACCACTTGGATAGCTCTGTAGTTTTTCTTTTTATGAGAGGAGCCCAACATAGATCCGTTGCAGAGTCGGGGTCTTAGAGGAGCTGCTGGGTCCCTGGGGTGGATGTCCCCTGCTGAGTTTGGTCTTCCAGTATTACACTGGGTTAAAGAATTGGACAATGGACAATGCTAGAGGCAGAACTCTTAAAGGCGTTTTAGTGAAAACATCCCCAGATCCATTGCCCACAACTTTCCAATGAGGCTATCATGGAAACGGTACACGGAGAGGAGCTCCCATCAGTGAGCAGGGCAGCCTGACCCAGAAGTTTCTCTCAATGGAGCCTCATGCACACAGCCCGACACCACAGAGCACCACCGTAACTGCAGAAAAGGTGAGCTCAGACACTTTCATCTAGAATGAGTCCAAGACTGAAGCCGGTGTACCTCGAGCAGTGTTCTTCCTTCCTCTTACATTGCCCTTGAAATTACTAATTGTGCAAGCCGATTACTACTGTACACATGTGAATTTCCTTTAGCTCTGCCCTTAGTTCCTTGGGATGGGGAGCTGATAGGACACCTAGTACCAACAGCTTAAAAGAGGAAAAAAAACTTTCTGTATTTAAGCTGAAGTTTTAACAAAGGATCAATTTCTCAAGTTCCATTTGTGAAATGCCTTCTCTGAAACCTATGTAGATTTTCATATTTGGGGTAAGAGGAGAGAAAGTGTATTCCTATTTTGGAAGATTTGGGTATTTGGACCAGATTAAACCACTACTCCTAGTACTAGCACCAGTAGCAGCAAGAACACCAAGAAGGAGAAAAGGAAAAACCACCTTCGAACAATTGTAACATTTCAGGAGATGACAGATCTGTGCAGCAGAAGGCCTGCTGCTTAGTACACACACTAATCTTAGGGAGGGAAGGGAATATCCACACAGCATTCTTAAAACAGTTATAGGCAGAACAAGCTGAAGTCAGAACGCACTAATACCCACTAACCCATTAATGGAAGCACACCAAGAAAAAAAAATTTTTTTTTCAGAAGGACAGGTATTTCTGGTGCCTATTCATCTCAGTAGATGTTAGCTAGATTTTCCTATCATGCACCAGATTTCTTCCCTGACTTTCCTCCCTGTGGCTCCTGACAAATCTGCTGAGAGATTCCGACTTGTTAAGAGAGAGCAGTGTATAGGATATGCAGCTGGGAATGTGCAGGGTGCCTTAAAAATAGTTCTGAACGAGAAGTGGCCAAGCTTGGGCCCTGGTCACATTTCAGATATAAATGAAACCAAGCCCATGCCCAGAGGGATTGAGTTTCTAGATCAGAAATCTCAAAGAGCTCTCTTCCCTAGCTCCTCCTTTGATCCCTTAATCAACAACACACATGAAGCATTTGGGACCCCTCATGCCACAGCTGTGAAATACCAGCCATGATAAAATGATGTGGGGTTTTATGCCAAGTATGTGTACACATGTGTTGACCTTCTCTACGGCTTTGGATGAAGCAGTAACAAAACTGGCCAGAACAAAATGGAACTTGCCAGAAAATGAAGTCCTGGGGATAGAGGTAGAAGAGAGTCCTAATATTTAAGGAGCATTGCTAATAGTGAGTATAACGAAAAGCATTCCTGTTTTTGCTTCGAGATAATGCAGGTAACTTCTTAAGTGTGGAGAGTGATCTATAAGCCACTTTCTGTGAAGAGGTCCAGGAAATTCGCATTGTAAATTGGTGTAGGACTCAACCACATGGGGAAAGCATGGGCGGTGGCGTTCAGAACACTGCCAGGGAAGGTGGTTGTGACGTCGAGCTTGATATGTCTCCTTGGCCTTGGGATCAAGTAAGGATGGTATTTGTTTCAATAGACTGCCTTACGTAGAGAGGTCAAGATGAATTTGTTTGATGTGCAATCAGAATCTTAGGTAAGTGGGCAAAGGATGGCTTTTAGAATCAACCCTTTGGGAATATGGTGATGAAGGGAAGTATCTATTTTCTAGAGGAGGTCTATGTGTCATGTGAACACTTGGCTCCAAATGTATGTGGTTGGATGCAGTTGTGTGGCCGTGGAATAATTCTGGACTGAAACTTTGACTGTAGCATGTTTGTATTTTGTTTTTTGTAACACTGGAGTGATGGCATCCCAGCTAGGAACACTTACTTGTCTGAGGGGTTTTAAGACTCCATTAGCAAAAATGGACAGTAAAGTAAAATGTGTAGCAGATGAAGAGGATCGCACAGTTTCTGTTGTTGACCCATCTCCACGGATGACAGGGAGCCACTGGAGGTAAATCAGGTGCCCCAGATGAACAACTTCATAGGACTTCAAGGGTCCTTTTCTGTGACCCTTCAAAGATGTGGTTCCAACAGAGGGACACATTTTTTAATCAAACAGTGCTGTGGTATGAGGCTCATATATTTGTTTAAAATAAATCAGCTTATGTACATTATTTATTAAGATTAAAACCAAACTAACTCCTTCGGTTTCATATATAGAAACTAAATTAATAGATCTTGGGTTTTCTTGAAAGATAGGCTTGATTAGGATGCCTTTTTCAACATCTCTGCATAGGGAGCCTCGGGCTAGTATCACATGTATCCAAATGTGGAGGATTTTTATATCTTAAATGTATAGACTAATGAGTAACTGAAAAAAGTAAAGCTGGGAAGAGAGTAGCCTGGGTCACCTAAAGACACTCCTGTGCAAAATACCTAAGCTGCCAGAAGGGACACCCCAGGAGGGCAGGGATTTGGGGCAGCTTTATGTACTTGTAAATCCCAAGTACAGTGCCAAGCACTATAGGTGCTCAGTAAGTACTTGTTGAATAAAGTGCTACATAAAATAGAAAATGTCTCTTAAATATGTAGCTGAATTTCCCTCAAAATTTAGGAAAATCTTCAGGGGTTGGAATTGATTTCAGAAGGGAACATCAGAACAGCAGTGTCTGTGGCTTTTAGGTAAGCAGATTAGGGGGAGAGTTGCCAGAATTGGGAACCCAGAGCCTTGGGCTTTAATAGCTGCATAGGCAGAGGACACAGAGCCTTGGGCCTAACACAGGCAGAGAGCAATGACCCAGGGCCCCCAAGGGCTGCACACTGTGTAAGCCTCAACTGGAGAGACATCTGCCTGCTGGTAGAGGGAAGCTTGTCTACCAGCATGAAGTCTCCCCCACATAACCATACTGGCAGCCAGCCTCACCAGGATCAGGCTTTGAACTGATGTCACCGGTGGCCTAGGAGTCCCCAAGGAAAGGAGAGCTGATGTTCTGTCGCTGGCTTCTGCAAACACAAACCCCATCTGTAGGCACATCCTAAACCCAGGTTACATACAGGATCACAGCTAACTCCCCAGTGAAGATGAGCTCACAATGCAAAACTGCAAACATACAAGCCAAAAATACGCACCTGGATCAAGAGTCAGCTGATGGCCGACGGCAGGGTTCAACTCCAAGAGAGGCCTTCAGATTCTAGAATATCAGATAGATATTCAAGATACAAAGTAGGTGTGTTCACAACTATGAAAGGCAGGCAAACAGGAGAAAAGATTAAATCATTACTGTAAAAGACCACACATACTAAAAAACAATAAAGTAGTTCTCTTAAAAATAAGAAATTAGTCATTGGCATAAATTTAATGTGGAGAGAAATGCCTCTTTTCAGAGAGAACCAGAAGCCTGGCCTAGTAGATATAAAAGTTATAGTAATCATATCTAGTAATGAGCAACTCAAAGAGGCATGAACGTCCTCAGTAGTTCTTGATTTCTTGAAAGAAGGATGAGCTTAAATCTCAAGCTTTCAAAAATGTTACCCAAAAGTTGGCGGATCCCCAGCATCTCTGATTTTCTGTCTCTATCCTTTTTCCTGTAAGCTCTCAGTCATCCCTTGTGCTAAAGGAAGAGATCTGCTTCCCCCCGCCCTGCATTTCCTGTTCTTGGAGCATGAATTTCAGTCCTGACAACCCAGGTCACATCCAGTTAGGACAAGCGAACAGTGTCCTCTGTGAGAAAGAACAGATTAGTTCATCAGAATGAACCAGTAGGATGACACCTATTTTAATTGCAGCAATCCACTCTAGTTCCCAGATTTATGAAGCCCCGTCTTCAAGTAGCATAAACAAGTGGGTAAAACGTCATGTTTCGATTTTAACGATGCCCGAGATTTTTAAATATAACCATTTCCCTTTCTTAAAAAATACACTTAAAACATAATAGCCCCTACTTCTCCATCATTGCCATTTGGACATAAAAGGCACAAAAGACAGGCTTTTACCAATAGGTAGACTTTACCAGTAAAGCGCATAAAAAAGGATTCCTTTAACTATTTTTAACCTAAAATGTAATAGAGCAGATCTTTGCGCAGTTCTTAGGCAACGTATGCAATTCAAAGGATGTTTCTGGTCCCTGAAGGCACCCCACCCCGCTTATCCCGAGTGCCCAGGGTAGGAGTGCCCAGAGGAAACAAAGGCACTCTCCATGGGGCAGGAAAATCTCCACTAAGCCTATGAGCAAATGAATGCTGCAACCTGGAATGAACTGGGGCAGTGAATCTCAGAGACCGACTCATGTGAGCTGGCCATGCCACCTCTGGCTCCCTGCTCTCAGCCTGGGTGGTGGGGACCGTGGTGTGGTGGTCCAAGTTCGGGTGACAGGCACCACTACGCACCTGTCTCCCAGGTGGTTGATGAGGGTGGCCGGGGTTGCCTAGCACAGACCACCCCGGAGCCCCGGGCAGGACCTCAGGGGAATTGCCACAGGACTCACTCCACTGCTGCAGCGCCAGTCCGTGCTGTGTCGCTCCATGTGTGTCCCTGGCTTGTGCAGATGTCTGTCCTGCGTCTTCCACTAAACCCCTTCCTTTATCCCACCGATCAGCTCAGGGCCCCCTGTTTTACCTGAACAGAGTGTACCGCTAGAGGAGCTGCAGGGTCAGCTTGCGCAGGCGACCAGACTGCATCAAGAGGAGACAGAGAAATTTACAAACACGATTCGGAAGGTAAATATGTAACCCGATTTCAGCACAACCAGGGCTCTGACCGCGGAGCCCCCTGGAGACAGATGACAGGATGTATTTGAAAGAGAGCTGTCTGTCCCACTCAGGCTCCTGGACTCCTAGGGAATCATCTAGTTGAGCTGCCCCTCGGACATGTCATAAAGAGAGCTGTCCATCTTTCTCCTCTAAAACATGCTTTTCACTATTTACATTGTGGTCTCGGGAAGTTCTTCCTAACGTCTAACCTACATTTTCCTGCAGCCGTAGCCAGCAAAGGAAAATCAAAGAGGGGCCTTCACGCACCTGGACAGGAAAGTGTGTCCATAACTTTTGTTGTCCCACGGATTTGTAAGCTTTCTCAATGTTAGGTAAATTATTTGATAGGAAATATCAACAACTCACCCTAAACGGTTGTCTTCAGAAAACTGCCGCTAATTGAGCTGCGTGCGGCCTTATTAACTCTTCCAGCTTATCTTAGAATAACCTGTTACTGGCTAATTACCCATTATCTGTTAAATCCTTTCCCAGAGTTGCTAGGAGAAGGGATTCACAGACACGGGCACTCATTTCCTAAATAATTTAACCTTTTTTTTTTTTCCTTCTGCACCAAAAATCATGTTTGAGAAAGGAGTTTATCCCTGGAGATGCTAATAGCAAAATAGCAGGGTCCCAGGTGTGTCTAGTACTTGGATTCAGGATAAAGGAGTATGTTGAAGACCAGGCTTTAGACCTTGTTTGGAGGGGGTGAGAGGTCATCCAGGCTTGTTTAGAGGGAACAAGGGTCGGTGTTCCCTAACGTATCCCTAACATTCCCTAACGTATCAGAGGGAAGAGGACCAACTCTGGGCCTTGGGATGTGCTTGGAGACATGGAACAGAAAGAAGGTGGCAACCAGGGCAGTGGGGAGGTCAGAGCCAGTCAGAAAGGAACATTTCCAGGAGGCCTCAGATGAGAGGACAAGAGAACATCCCCTCCCAGCGCGGCGCCTCCACCAACTAAGACTAGCATCTCTGGCATACCTGCCATGAGCTAGGCGCTCTGCACATCTTGAGTTAGCCGCCGAGGAAGCTGAAGCCTTCCCAGTCAGTCGATGGCTGACATAATACTGCAAGTAAATTGCAAACGCTGGATTTCCAGTATGGTAGGCTTCTCCCCCCCTCGCTCGTCCTGCTTTTGTGCCCACAGGGAAGAGAATCCGCGGGACTCCGACGACTGCCAACAAAGTGAATTAAATCACCACTATTTTGTGTTCTCTCAGCTTGAAGTGCCAAAAAGATCTGGTATTATGACAGTGGCTGCACAAGTCTCTGTGCAGACCCGGGATCTTCCCAGAGCTGCCTCTCACTCTTCACTGGCGCTAGCACAGCACATGTTGGTGTCGACCGCGGGCAGCCATAGTCCCATCCCCATGGTTTCTGAGCACCGATCGAGTACTTTAGGAAAATAAGACAAAACAAAACTCAGTGCCTTGGTGTTTGGCCAAGAGGGAGTGTTAAATCGGAAGAGGACAGCTGATAACTACAAGGCTGGCATTCAAACCCTTTTTTTCTTTTTCAGTCTTTGGAACAGAAAGCTTCCATTTAGCTTCTATTGATATTATTCTTGTGCCCTTATCTGTGCAATAAGATTTTATTCACACCACTTGGCTTAGTCATTATCGACATAATCACTGTTTATTGCTTGGAAGAGTGCCTGTACCCATGTTGAAAGCAGGAACTTAGCATAGAAATGGAAAACACTTCTTTTTCAGCAATGCTTTATTTCCCTAAGAGTTACTTGTGGCCAATAGGAATGGGGAGTCCTAAGTGTGGAAGTAGGTTTTCAGCTTGCTTTCCTGTTTGCTCCCCACCATATGCTGCGGCAGAGGACCTTGTGTCAGGGAGAATCCCTGCTCCCCCACCCCCACCCACCCAGCCACCTCGCTGTCCCACTCTCTGTGGGCCTCTCCATCAGCTTGCTGTCTCTTCTTTCTTCTGAGGGTTGTGCACACCAGAAGGCTCAGGAAGCCCAGGGGAAGAGTTACCACTTAACGCCCCCCCCCCCCTTACAATTGCAGTGTGCCTTTTGCAAGCCCACAAACAGAGGGCAAAGGGAATCTGCACGGGAGCCAGCTGCAAGCCATCCATCTGAGAAACAATTTTCCTGAAGAAGTTTAGAGACCTCCAAAAACACCACGAGAGACTTGACAATGAGAATTGACGATAACATCTTGGTTTGAAATAGTGTTTACTTCGGAGTAAGAAAACCCTTGAGGTTTTCTAAATAGTACGCATCTCAAGGAGTTTCCTGAACTTTGGGGGCTTCTGTGTTTTCCGTGCCAGGTGCAACATGATCAAGATTGAATGACATTTTGCCAAGACTTGGTTTGGTTTGGGTGGCAAATTGGAATAGCTGCTGTCACACTCTTGTCTCTCTCTCCATTCAAGATGGAGGAGGAGCACCTCTATGCCTTGAGATGGAAAGAACTAGAAATGCACAGCCTGGCTTTGCAGAACACCCTCCATGAGCGAACTTGGAGCGACGAGAGGAATCTGATGCAGCAGGAGCTCCGGTCCTTGAAGCAGAACGTTTTCCTTTTCTACGTCAAACTCAGGTGGCTGCTAAAGCACTGGCGGCAGGGGAAGCAGATGGAGGAGGAAGGCGAGGATTTCACTGAGGTACCTCCCCCACCCCACCCTCCACAGAGAGTTCATTTTCTTTGTGTCTGTTTTGTTCTTGACCCCCAGGCACTGCTGTCCCTCTATGCCCTACACACAAAGTCACATTCTGTTATTTCAGATGGTTTTTATCAAGCCCAATCCAGGCACGGGAAATGCAACAGGTTGTCCAGTTATATTAGACCAAGAATTCTGTGCTGTCCCGTGGCCTCGTTTTCAGAGTCCTTGTCTCTAACTCCACTCTGCGGCAAAGTTGTGCGGCCATTTCTTCCCCTGCTGACCTCTGAATTCATGCACGTTGTCACCCTGAGGTCCTGTGCATCTCTCGTCCCGCCTTGCTGGTTTGTCAGACCTAGCTCTGAAACTTTCTCTCTCCTTTCCATTTCAGTTTTTGTTCCTAGATGCTAGAGCCCGTTCTGCCCCTGCAGTTTGATAAGGGTCCCTGCTAGGCTCCAGATGGGTCAGGGTTTTGCCGCTTCTGAAATGTGCGTATGCTTCCCCCTTATGCCTCCATTCCCAGATTCATCACAGAACCAGAGCAGAGTCATCTGCTTTCTGATTGATTCTGATTGATTCAGTCCAGCTCTGCAGGCTCCTTCAGGCCTTGCCTTCTGGCCACTGCTGCTGGGTGTGTGCTGGGCATCCACACCCCTGGCTCCTTTGTCAGCTGCTTCAAGGCATCATAAATGTTGGTTTCCTTTTAGCTCCCAAAGACTTCTCATCTGCTTTTCACTGTATGTAATTTTAAGTCATCCTCTGAAGGGGAAGATACTCTTTCTTGAGGGAGGAAATAAAGCCTTCCAAAATTAATTCAACCTGCTTCCAAATAGCCTTGACATAGAAAACCATCATTAAGCAAAGCCTAGAAGTGGTTGTAAAGTTTCCTTCTCCTCTAGCTTATAAAACCATAACCATAATCAATAATAATTAATAAATCATAAAATTTTTCATTATCAAAATAACTTAAAACAGTAAAATTTCTAATCTTTTCTGACCAATTGGGTACCCACGGTGTGGTGTTTAAATGAAGAAGGTGGCCAGTGAGTGAAATGGGCTAAATGAGGATATTCGGGAAAGGGCTGAGAAGTCAAGACTTGATAAGCCATAAAGGGGAGAATTACCCTCAAACAATAAAAACCAGGCTGCACAGCAAAGGATTTGGGTGGAGCTGTGATCATTGTCTCCTGCTGTTTTCAGAGGGAGCATCCAGAGACCCTCCCCAGGCTGGGTGAGCTTGGAGTTCAGGGGGACCCGAAGGGGGATGGCCCAGACCGAGATGACAATGGTCCAGGTTGTGGCTTTTCAATGGGAGAGCATTCTCCACACTCCCCTGTGCAGATTGGTGACCACGGATCAAGGCTGCAGCCTGCGCACGGGGGACAGCTCCACAAGCAGGTGGGTGCCGAGGTCCCAGCCCCTCATTCTACCCACATCTGGGAGAGGATAGTCCTAGTCTATGTCTGTGTCATCTTATTTTATATGCTGGTGTTTCAGGGAGCAGAAAACTCTGACTGCCTATGGTTGCCTGTCGCTGTGTTTGTGCTAGAAATCATATCATTAAGACTTTATTTCATTGTCAGCCCATTGGGTCATTTGGCTTCCACGTATAAATAAGGGGCATAGTAGGATCAGATCAATGGGAGGGGCCAGCAAACGTACCTGAGAAGGAGGGGGGTGAAATGTAGAGTGGTGTGTGGAGGGATCTGTGGCTTTAGAAAGGTTGACCATTCTTCCATGAAAGAGACATTACCGAGTGCAGTGCCCTCCTCATGGCCAGAGAAAGAAGGGACAGGGCTTTTTTGTTGACAGCTGAATGGGCATCGGCAACATCACGAACCTGGCAACATAATGTGTAAGGAGGAAAGAAAACGTATTTTTTTTAAATCCTAAATATGTATGAAGTGTCTTAGGTTCTTTTTGGGCCACTTGAAATAAAAATATTTGATGACACTTAAAAAATTAAAAGCATATATAGAGATGGGATTTCAGTGTGTAATATGAAAAAATTATTAATGTTGCCAAATGCCACATTTATTAATTATTAAGCAGGCAGCCCCTGCTTAATAAACCAGAAGATACTATTGATGCCACCCAGATTTTTTGCGCTTCTCTACAGAACAGCAGCTGTGGTGGGTTTGGAGTGCTGAGAGCCTAGGAGGTACCCAGTGTTAAAGCTTTCTTGCTCCCAGACTTCCTGGTCTGAGGCTTATCCAATCCTAAGTTGCTTCTTTGAGGGTTCTGCAGGGCAGAGCCTGGGGCCCTAAGACCCTTGGCTCTGGGGTGAGGGGCAGGACCAGGGGGACCCGAAGTGCACAGTCACCCCGGGTGGAGCTGTGGCCCCCCGACCGCAGGCATTTCTGGGCACTCCCTGTGTGCTGGACTCCACAGCTGCAGTTCCTCCCTCAGCCCAGAGCCGCAGAGGGTCGAGTGGGAGAGGGCTGTCATCAGATCTTTGGCTCGGATCCAAATGAGAAAAGTCGTAATGTCTGAGCCCAGGCCTAGGGGATGTGTGTCTTTTCCCCCTGTCTGCTTTCTCTTCGTAGACAAATCAGATTTTCACAACTAAAGAGCTGTTTCTCTGCATGCCCATCTGCCCTTCATTTCCCCTGAATAATATGGCTCAAGAACGATGTTATGCTTTCAAATGAATGTTTAATTACACTTCTTAGGAAGTTTGTCATTATGCCAGTGTCCCTGGGGAGATTTTAGCACATGGAATGAGTTTTCCAGCAGTTTATCTAGTTAGAAAATAAAATGCTACTTTGCAAATAATCCTCGAAAACCTACCACTTTTATTATTTTTCAGAGATGTTGTCAGTCCGTTTTATAAAGTATCTGTGATTAACTCAAATAGCATCCGCTGACTGCCACTTAGCCCTAAACCTGTTGTGTCTCAGGTCACGTGCGGTGTTTCCCACCCGTGTGTCCAGATGCTTAGCAAAAGGGAAAAAATGTAACACATCTGGTTTTCTAAACAGTTCTTATGGGAAATGTTACCCTGGGGGTGGAAAATAATGTAAAGTCACTCAGCTGGAACCTCACACTCAGTGTATTTTAACATCATCTCTCTGCCTCCTCCTTCCAAAGCTGATGTTTCTGCTAGTCCCCTCGGAAGTGAAGGTGGGAGCCGTGAGTTTCCACTTTGTACAGTGTGTGGTAGGGGCACCCGGGGGGCCTGCAGGACAGGGCGCCGACGGGCCGAATCTGGGCAGCCTTTCACGGCCCCATCTGTCTGTAGGAGTTAAGTGCACAATGCCACCCATCCGAGGACAGAAGATTAATGCGATCTACTGTACGACAGCTGGTTGCCTGGGAGTGAACATTCTCAGCTACCAGATTTGCCTGCCCTCTCGTGGCGTGGGTATTAGCTAGGCAGTCTGCAAGAGCAGGAACACGTATCCCAGAGAGCCGCACCCTTTTCAACAACTCTGAGAACCTGCCAAGGTGATAAGCAGAATGGGCAACGTGGCCTACCTCCTGTCCCAAGGCTAAATTTGCCAGTGACACAATTTCCCAGGCCTTGCTCTCTTCACTTTGTGTCATAGTGAACATTCTCACAGTTGAACACAGTAGATGTCAAAATGTATCATTGTCCAAAGAGGTAAAAAAAAAAAAAAATGTATGTGTATCAAGTCAACCTTGAGAATAGTTCATAAAAAGTTACCAGGTTGGAAAATGTTTGGCTGTGTGAATGGTCCCCGTTGACTGATTTTTAGTTCCAGGACTAGTGATCTAGTGGCAGCGACCTGGTTGTCCTCGAGAACAGAAAGCACTTTCCATTTGCCCGGCCTTTTGGAAGAACTGGAAAATATGCAAGAGCTTATTGTATCACTCTCACTGAGCTCCAGCATGCTGGCCACAATGTTAAGCTTTTGAGACCTAAGGCTACCCCTGCATTTTATGCTTACTGGTAGTTCCCAAAATCAAGATTTTTAATGCAAGGTGACTAACAGTGCCAGCATTATGGCCCTGTGGTTCCACTAGCTAATTGTCTGTGAATTGGATTAATTTATTCGAAGAGAAGTTACTTTTTCATCCAGGGATGGGACATAATACTCTTTATTAAAGCATCTAAGTGTAAGTGTATAGAACCTAATTTGGGGCGCCTGGGTGGCTCAGTCGTTAAGTGTCTTCAGCTCGGGTCATGGTCCTGGGGTCCTGGGATCGAGCCCCGCATCGGGCTCCCTACTCAGCGGGAAGCCTGCTTCTCCCTCTCCCACTCCCCCTGCTTGTATTCCCTCTCTCGCTGTGTCTCTCTGTCAAATAAAATCTTTAAAAAAATAAAATAAAATAAAATTCAGAGCAAGAGCTAATGAAATTATGTTTCATGTTAGTCTTCAACTACAGCTGGTCACTAAAGAGTCTCCCTCAGGACCCAGTTTTAGGACCGAGTAGAATCTATTCCCCTGGACCTTTGTCACTCACTAGTCCAGGACTCATCTGGGGCTTAGGGCCTTCAGAAGCCACCCTCAGTAGAAGTCAGCCTCTCTCCTGTAGACAGAGTGCCTTTGGCTCCCTGGGCCTCCCAGACATCAACTCACGTTGGTGCCCACCTTTCTGCTTTGCCCAAGATGCAGAAACTTCCAGAAAGAGCACCTCTGCCAGACAAGGCCTGTGTGTCAGAAACTGTGATCTGCTCTTCCTTTTTTTTTTTTAAATAAGGAAGCTCTCCTCTTGAGCCTGGATCACTTCTACCTTCTATTTTGTATGTACCGTGATTCATTTTTCAGATTCTGCAACTTTATAACCTCACCTAGGAGACATGCAACTCTTTCTAGAAGGAACCAGACCAGAGCTTATGATTATGAAACCTTTTATATTGGCTGTGTGTTTCTGCTTATTCCTGGTACTGTGTAAATAGCAGGGGCACAGGAGTGAAGAGGCACAAGTACTAGAGGATACTCAGGAAAGGACTCTTTCAGCCCCTGCCCCACCTCCCAGTGTCAGCCACGGTCAGCAGTAAACCCTAAACCTCTGCTCATAAATGATTTCTTTCCATCTGGCCACTTGATTTTCATCACACCTGCCCTGGTTTCCTTGAAGCCTTTGGCTGATAACCCACATTATAACTTACTAAATATATGTCCCGCACTTCTTTCACAAGCCCACATTTATGCTTGGGAAGCTTTCTGAAAATTACAGTGACCTGCCCCGAGAAGCCCTCATGGCCTGGATCACCTGGCATGTTCCCAGCCAAAGGACAGATGATTTTTGTACATAAATGAATCTCTCATCTCTGTAACCCTCCACCAGGGATTTTCATGGCCAGTCTTCAGTGACTCATTCTATCTGTGGGAGGATAGTAGTTTTAGAAAAGAATCTTAAAATTAATCTGAATGGAACAATGAAAGTAAGAATGGCTTATTTATTAAAATGTTGCTGGATGTGTAAATGTATCCTTTCAGTCTGATCTCACAGTAAAGGACTTGTCTTGGAACTCTTGCTGGTAGAGGAGTTACTTTCTTGAATAGGATGTGAGGTCCCCCTCTTTGTAAGTATGAAATAGGAACTCTGCCTGTGTTGGGGGTTGGGGGCAGCTACCATGGCGTTCTGGAACTCCCTGCCTATGTCTGCTAGCCTAGATGAATAGGAAGTAGAGACCATCTGGCATTCTGTGGGTCAGCCCATAGCAGCGGGTCAGTATATCTGTCCCAACTTTAGATTAAACCCATCTCCAAAATTAATGGCTCTGAGACAAAGTGGTTGACGGTAGTTTAGCTCCTTCACAGAATTATGAAACACATTATCTTAGAAATCTTAGGCAAGAATGATTTTATCAAATAGCTGGCATTGCATCACAAATATCTTGGTGTGTTCTCTTTCCCAGAAACTTCCTTTTTTACTTTCTACTAGTAATATTTATTGTGTATTTGGGTAGCAGTCTTATTGGCTGAAGCCCAGCCTTGAACCTGTTATAAAGTTTACCACTTTATAGCACAGTCAAGCTCCTGATCCCAATTTTGGGATTATTGTAAGCCTTGCCCAAGAGAGATGAACATGGAAGGGCTGAAAAGGAAGTGGTGGGGCCATTTTATCCTGCCTCTTTGCAAGAAAACCAACCAGCTGATCTTGGAGAGGTTGAAAAAATTGGTCTTTTTAATTAAAATCGACCTATACTTAACATCTATAAACTAAAAGGTTGCATAATTGGGCCCCTGGCACAGAAGTTTCAGAAAGTTCTGTATCCAAGAAGACTTTCACCCAAAGACCTCTAAATGGCCCAGAGAATCTTGATTCCATTCTTAACTTAATTAGGGTCCTCTTTTTACCCCAAACATTGCCCAGCAAGGGCCCCCACAGGGAGGAAACATAAGACAAGTAACTTTTTAGGCATTCTTTTAGGATGGCTCACTAGTAGTATTTCTGTTGATCTGGGGGATGGAATTTGTTTCCAGAGATGAGGTGGCTTCTCTTAGGCAAAATTTAAAACAAACAAACAAACAAACAAACCTGGGTAGAGGATAATGTCAAATTTAGATATGTTGGCTGGGTTTGTCCAGCCTTGGGGGGGACAGACCCGGAGTGCAGTCCGTGCTCTGCACTTCCTAGCAGGGAGAGCCTGCTCCAGTTCCTCCTCTGTCACACGGTGGGGCATGATGGTATGCACCCAAGATTGATGTGAGATGCCAATGAGATCCTGCAGGTGGGCGATCGGCATACCTGACCTAGCACGCCCTCTGTCAGAGACAATTCGTATTACTTTTCATTACTGGGTTTTTTGTACCTGAAGAAGTTTAGAAACATCCTGCGCATCTGGGTCTTCAGAAGTTTTTATTTGGACATCAGTTCTCGGTGTTGTACACCAATGGCAGAGAGCTAGGCTGACTTCTTGCCATGTCACATGCTGCTCCTGGGTGATTATCATAACAAGTACCAATAACATCCATTCCGTGGACTCTCTTGCTCCCTTTGGCCACCTTCATGCCAGAGCAATTTTTGAACTTATTCCGTGATGATCAATATTATACTTGTATAATAGCACATTATGATGATTACGCTGACCCAAATGTGCATGAAAACGTTAAGGCTTAATTTTATTTAATCTGATATTTGCTAATGCCAGAAAGTACTTATTTCCAGAGGAACCAGAATTTCAGTCTGCAGAAGGACTGTTCTGTGAATTCCTGCTTCCGAGGACCACAAATTCTGGTCCTAATGTTATCAGAACCAATTTGTGTGGGGTTAAGAACCCCACAGGCTGACAATATTCACAAAGTGGGGTTTGTAGGGAAGTATCGATTATATACAAGAATTGATTACATGGTTTTCTGCTTTTTCTTCACTGAGAATTTGATGACTACTCAGAGACTAGATCAAAATCAGTCTCATTACTTTATGCTTTAAATACTTTGACTTAAAAAGTAGTGATTTTTAAGTTTAAAATCCAAAGATGAAAATAGCATATGAATCTATTTAAAATATAGTTTTTTTCAAATAAATTCTGTACTCAAAAGATGTATATTTCTGAAAAGATTATTGCAATACTTCTTCTCACCTGCACTTATATAAATTTTAAATACTTTTGGTGTAGAGTTGAAAGAAACTGTTCTGCATTTATTACAGTTGTACACATATCCTGAGCACCTCTTTGAGTGTAGTGGTAATTTACTTATATTTTTGGTTGGAAGGAACATGTAGCATTTTTAGAAGGCTCTCTAGCTGCTGAATCTTTCAAACGTTAACTGGATTGTACTCTTACTGGCTTTAGTCTCAGAGCTATTAAAGTAAAAATTGGTAGTCAAGGGGAGAAAAACCAAAGAGCTATAAATGTTAACAAATAGGTTTTTCTACCCCATCGAAAGTCTACCGCATCTAATATTAGAACTCCAGACAATTTACAGGGAAAACTGGGGTGTTTTCAATAATAAATCTGCTCATATTGAGGAGTTTCTCTTTTCTAATTCAACTTTATTTAAATCCAACCATATAGATAGCCAAAGTATCTTAAATTCTTCCCAAATGTGGCTGTCCATTTTCATCTCTGCGCATGTGTGTTTAGGGGATTAACGAGATGGTTTTAGAAGCATGACAGACTCTCCACGTGGTAGAGGAGAGCTGGGGGCACTGTCCTGCTGCCCTTGGCACGAGAAGCTTATCAAGCGGGAGGGCAGTCTCTCTGAGAGTAAGGGGCTCTGTGTCCCCAAAGTCGAGACAGTCTGACTCCAGCAGGACTGAGAGAGCTTTGATTCTACCTGCCTCGTAAATGCGCCAAACAAGATGGCCCTGAGACCAGTCTGGGAGCTCGTGATGCACTTTTAGTGTTTTCTGTTGGAGCTCGTGGAGCTTTTATTATCCAGGTATCATAATTGATTCAGTATTTAATTCACTTGGACAGGCCTTTCTGATATAATGCCCATGCTGAAACGTACAAAGATAGCAGTCATGGTTTTGAAATGTGCTTTCAAAGAGCAGGATGAGTTTTAGAAAATAAAATATCTTTTAGGTGTAAGCAGATTAGTGATAAAAATCCCTTTTTCATTTATCTGACCTGTTTTGCATACTTCACACGAGCTGAACATTGTGTGGGCCACTGGAAACATGGGAGTGGGTCGAGTTTATCTGTGCCCCGTGCACCCATGGGGTGGTCAGGGGAGGCACAGGAGAACAAGTAGGTGCTGGTTATTGCAGCTGAAAGGAGGGGCACAGTGATTCCGTCTCAGAGGACCATGAGGAGGCTCTCGTGAACAAGTTAAGCGTTTACATTTGACTTGGATTAAAGCTCAAATGCCCTCTCCCCCGTGGCCATACTTATCCATCCAAGTCAGAGTATGACCACCCTATGTTTATAAGAGACACAGAGCCTTTATTTACTCTCTTCTGGTTCAATGGCTGGTACTAAAATGACAGCATAGATAGGTGAGTGTTTATATCTTGCCAGATCTGCATCCCCAACCGTAGCTGTGGATGTCTGAAATCACACGGAGCTTCCTTGCAGCCCTGGCTTCTGGGCTCCCTGTGGCCTCCTGCAGATTCCTCCCTTCTGCTTCTGGGCCCGGAGCACCAGCCCTGAGCGCCAGCCCCCTCCTGTTCCACCAGGCCCTTAGCAGTCTCAGCTCCGGGAGCCTGATGGTTGGCAGCGTAGGGACCCCCTGGCTCTGTCCCACTAACTGCAGACTTTCCACCTGTTCTGTACCCATTGCAATGGCACCTCGGACACAACGCAGCACCACCTTGACGCCATGACCTAAAGAATACCCTTACATGAGGGGGCAGAACCAACTCCATGTTCGCTCCCGCAGGTGGTGGAAAACCAGCAGCTGTTCGGGGCGCTCAAAAGCCTGCTGGAGGACCTGCGCGCCGAGCTGCGGGAGGACGAGCATGCGCGGCGGCGGCTGCAGCAGCAGTACGCCAGCGACAAGGCCTCCTGGGACGTGGAGTGGGCCACGCTCAAGTGCCGCCTGGAACAGGTACCTGCCCATGGGCTCTCTGCCGCTCCAGCTCTGTGGGGCCTCTGCCATCTGGGCCAGGTGGGGAGAAGGCACAGTTCCTCAGATCCACGGTGATTTTTGTCCAAAGAGCTAGGGCTCCGAGGGGAAAGCCAGGAACAGCTGCCTGCTCTCTTTCTCTCCTTAAAATTCCCAGCCTCGGGGCGCCTGGGTGGCTCAGCTGGCTAAGCATCTGACTCTTGATCTCAGCCCAGGTCTTGATCTCGGGGTTGTGAGTTCAAGCCCTGTGTTGGGCTTCATGTTGGGCGTGGAGCCTCCTTAAAAAAAAAAAAAAATTCCCAGCCTTTCCAAGGCACCTTCTTCTCCCTCCTATTCCCTCTCCCAAGTATGAAACACAGTCTCCACTGAGCACCTTTTGACAGTAGCATTTGTTTTTCCATTCTGCGTTGAACAAGGCTGTATTTATCCCCATCAAAGGATGGCCAGCATGAAGTGGTGATCAGAACGCACTGACATGGTTCAGACAGGCGCAAAGAAAATGCAGATTATGGCTTAGTTATCTTTGGAAAAGGAAAACATGTGCGTTCCCTTTAGATTTCTCCTAATGCTGAAAAGAGCTTGTAGACCTTCCACGATGTGCCCTGGAAATCTGATTAGTTTCCATGTCCTGTTTCCCCTGGAGGAAACAGAGGCCCAGAGGAAGTGGCTGGTCTCGGATCATGGAGCCTTTAGTGCTTAAGTAGAGAGAACGAGGTCTTGCCTCCACCCTCCCAACCGAGCCGAGCCTCCTCGGAGATTTTAGACCATGGCCATGGCTGATAAGGTCAGACGTAGCCAGAAACGTTCTTTTCTAAGTGTTTTCTCCCTGGAAACCCTTAAAAGCAATATCACCTCCTGCCCTGAGTCCACTTGCTCAGATTGTTTCTCCAGGTTTCTTCCAACCCCTTGATCATGATGGGAGGAAAAGTCTGTGCATCTTGGATAATCTACTTTCTAAGCCCTATTTTGAGGCAAATCTTAAAGTAATTAAAATTTTATATGAATTGGCTAGGTCATGAAAGAAAAAAAAGTTGCCCAGAAAGGAGACATCTTCCAAATGGCTTTGATAAAAGTTGAAAGAGCCTGTCACGTCAAAAGAAAACAACCCCCTGGTACCCACAAGTTCAGCTGCATGGCCAGCTGGCCCAGGGGAGCAGAGAATTCAGGCTCACAGCCCCCAGGAGAGCAGAGACACTGCCTTCTCCACAGAGGAAGCAGCAAAGCAGAGCAAAACCAAAGCATCAGGCCGGGCTGGTGGAGCTGCTGACCCAGTTCTGAATCCTGCCTACTTGCCTGGTAGGAGATTCTTATGAGATGCCCTGTTTCTCTTAGTGCACAGCCTGAAGAGACAGCAGTGGAGGCAAAATGAGTAAGATCTCTCTGGTGAGCTGCCTTTAAAACTATTTTAAAATATGTTTATGGGGGAGAAAGCTAAATATTTTCAAAGATGTAAGTGTAGCTGAAGAAAGGAGGCCTAATCTTTGATATGAGCCAATTTCAAAATATTTCATCTTTGTTTTAGAGAAACCTGGTAGCCACCCACACACATGCTACACAGAAAGCCTCAGGGAGAATCACTAGACACGAAGAAATAAAATTAAGACTTCAGACTTAGAAGCCAGGTGGTAATGGGTAAAGATTCATCTTCCACCCAAATCATTTTAAGAAGTTTCTGAAACAGTTGCAGCCCAGGAAGCAATGAATGTGGGCTAAAGCTAGTTTATTTATAATACTCGCATCTTTACTCTTCTTCTACTTAAAAGCAAGACATGTGAATTCTACCAAAAGTTAAGTATTTTATCTCAGTGGAGGCCATGTTGTGTCCATGGTCAAATCTGTGATTCCTTCAATTAACTCCCAAGTCAGGCCTTGTTCTAGATGCCAAGGATCCAGCAACAGAGAGGACATTTTTTGTAGGGGCTCTCAGTGCATTGGGAGACCCAGACAAGGGCTGTAATTTATAATAGAGTGATAAGTGCCCCGCCAGGCCTATATACACAGTGCTGTCAGGAAATAGGGGTGTGCAGGCCATACACCTCAGCCTGAGTGTTCAGGGAGGGGTTGTTTGTGAAAGTCCTGCTTAGAATGAGTCTCAGAAGATGAATAGGAATAGGTGCATGGAAAAGGAGAGAAAGGATGTTTCAGACAAAAAAAGCATCATGAAAAAAAAGAGTAAGTATATCTGAGGAGTTGCACCTGGTCAGTTATGAGGGAAAAGAAGAATGTGCAGAAGATTGAAACATTAATCCTGATTTTATCATGGAAGTGAAGCATTTTGATTTACATTTGTAAAAGATTATTCTGGCTTTGAGGAAGAGAATGGATTAGAAGTCACTGGAATTGAATGGAGTAACATGGTCCATAGGTAAAAATCCAGAGGTCTGCTGAACTAGAATAGGAAAAAGATGCATCTTTATGTTCACTGCTCTTTCACTAAAATCTATCATGTTCTGCAGCAACAGTGTGCTCCCAGCTCCCTCCTCCCATCCTCTGCTCTTGTTGCCACAGCTTACTTCTATAAACACACAATACATTGCAACTGGTTTTGCTTCAGCCACTCAATAATACTTTAAAGCAATTAAAAATAGGGAAAAGTGAGCTTTTACTTGTATTTCTTATGTCATTTCCAGCATTCATTTTTTGTGTAGATCACAGTATCTCTTAGTATCCTAATCCTTCTGCCTGAAAACTTCCATCATTTCTTGAAGTACAGGTCTGCTGGCAAAGATTTTTTTTTTTAATTTGTTGAAAAAGCCTTTTTTCCCTTTACTTTTGAAAGCATAGAAGTCTTATCGAGGTGGACATTTTCCTTCCCTCAGCCCTTTAAGGATGCCACTCCATCGTCCCTGACTTGCATAGTTTCAGAGGAGAGGTGTGCTGTCATTCATGTCTATGTGTCCTGGGTCTGTCTGCCTCCGAGGTTTCCTGTTTGGTTTTCAGCAGTTTAACTATGATATGTCTATATGGAAATTTTTTTGCTCATTTGTTTGTTTTGGTATTTAATCTCAGGGATGTTTAATGGATATTTATTGTAGACTGGTAGGTCCCACTGATGCTCCATCCCTCGTTTCTGTGTGGGGGCTGAGGATTTGGGGACAGACATGGACCTGCCCTCAAGGAGCTCAATAGAAGGGCAGGCAAGATATGGTGGTAACTGAGTCAGGAAGTGAGGCTGAGAAACAGACCACAGGAAGCTAAGTGGACTCACTGCTTTACATTTTATGTGACTCTCTATGTCAAATGTTCATAATTAGGACTTTAAAAATGAGAATTGTTTTTTTTTCCCATGGGATTGGTCAAATCTTGGCTTAAACAGTTTCCAGGGATAATATGCAAGTGTGCTGTGATTTTCTTCACCTGTTGATATAAGATTTGCCAGGGGTTAAGGTCTACGTCTTTCCTCCTTGCCAGCTGGAAGAGAAGACTGAGAAGAACTTGGGAGAAGCAGGCACTTCCACTGACAGCAAGGGAGCATTCAAGAAGGAGAGGGAGACGCACCAGAAGCTCCTCGCCGACAGTCACAGCCTGGTCATGGACCTGCGCTGGCAGATCCATCACAGCGAGAAGAACTGGAACCGGGAGAAGGTGGAAATTCTCGACCGGCTGGACAGAGACCGGCAGGAGTGGGAACAGCAGAAGAAGGAGCTGTTGTGCAGAATAGAGCAGGTAAGGGAGCACCCCAGCACCAGCGAACAAGGAAGAGAATATGGACAAGTAAACTGACCTGGAGATCAGAGCACTTAGAGGAAAAAAAAATATATATATATGTATATATATATCAGGCTAATGTTTCATGGGCTTCCAGAGGAAGAAGAAAAAAATCATAGAATTCTAGCATTGGAGACCCAGACTCAGCCCTTACATTACACAGATCTTTTCATTGCAGAGTCTGTAGGTAACTTCTTGTGTGTGTATATACGTGTGGTATGTCTGTGGTCAGGGCTGGGCGGGGGGGGGGGGGGGGGTGGCGCTAATATTCTGAAGGAATTTAAAGACTAAACTTGAAACATGAGGTTATTTCAGGTCTTATAAGGTGTGATTCCTGCCAAAAAGCAAACTACCTTTTAAGTTTGTCCCTAAAGATGTGGTCACAGTGGCTGCTCCAGCTTGGGTGGGATTGCTGCCCATTAGTAAAGAGATTGCTCAGTTACATTGGAAATCAGGCTGTTTGCACCTGCTGTGGATATTGCTGACCTGTGATTAGGGAGGACCATGTCAGGGGAGGGAGCTGGTAGCTCATCCTCTTTAGCTAAACAAACAATTCAAACACCCAGATGAATTCAGGGGGAGAAGGGGAGTTGTTTTTCTACCTCCCAGAGAATCATTCTCTGCATTGTGTCAGCTTAAGACAGTTTGCATAGTTGTGGTCATGCCTGAGTGATGCACAAATTAAATTTTCACATTAAACTGATAAAGTTTTGGAATTCTTCTCTGGCTGGATTTTTACATAGCATATATGTTTTTTATTTATTTTTTTTATTTCAGCCTGTCACACTTAAAAATTTATGAGGCCTCAAGGTAGTGTATTAATAAGAAAATAAGTTCAGGAAAAATAACCTTATTACTCTACTACAAATACCCATACTGCCTGCATTTATGTGGGAGCCTTTTGAAAAATGTGCTGTATCATCCCCCAGTTGTGATACCTGTGTTATGCTGGTGCAATGGCCAAAGTTAGTTTCTGCATGCTGTTGGGGAGGGAGACAAGGTAAAGGAACTTAAAAAAGCCAGGAGCCCCTGGCTCAGAAACTGTTGAGTTGAGAAGGCACACTTCAGATAGAATGGTGCAGAAGTTCTTCCTAGATTTGATTACTCACACAACTGAGTCACACCATATTGGTGTTTGATGTGGCTCATTTCAAAATTCCCCAAAGTCTATCAAAAGAAAGGTGGCCACTTCCTGCTTGGCCTAGAAATGCATCATTTGAGAAGAATCTTCTATATTAGATCCCCTATGTGCCTGTGCTCTCCTGAACAGATCAGTGGTTAGGTGTAAATTGCAGGGGCAAAAATAGCACGTATTCTCGCAAAGTGGTCACAGATTTATCATATCCAGCTTCGGTTAACCAGTGTTTCAGAAACTCCAGGCACCTTGTTACCAGGGAGGTTCCTTCTTGGCCTTCCCTCCAAGAGCACTCACCCTGTCTCTCCTGTGGCACAGCAAGGCCATCACAATCCCTGCCACAGCCCTTCTGGGTCCCCTTTGCCTGTTAGCTGTGGGCTCTTTGGTCTTGTCATAGCTCCTTTCTGGAAGTCACAGCTTGGATATAATTTAAGCAAGTCTTTCAGGGTTTCACTTTTGGGAATGAGGAATTCCTAGTAAAGGAAAAAGTAGTAGGACATCTGATGATAGTCAACTTCTGAGGAGTTAATGACCAGGGGAGGAGCAGTCACCCCATTTTAAGACTGTATTTTGAAGGGTAAAATTGGGCATGTGCTGAATGAACCCCATTTCCAATTCAGGTCAGTCCTCCGAGTCAGGACTAGAGCAGTTCTACCGAGCTGACGGCCTCAGAACTTGAGTCCTCAAGGTTAACATCTCTGAGCATAATGGATTCGAGACACGTGGGTTCCAGGCGTTCATCTGTTCCTGAAGTCTGTGCGGTGGATCCCACAGGCTTCGCACAGTGATCTCACTGCTGTTTTTAGGAGAAGATTTACTGCCAGTGAATGATGCTTCAGATATGCAGTTGTGGCTTTCAAAAATAAACCCAGCCTTTTCCCCCAAATAGCATTTTAAAAGAAGATTTTATAAATCTTGTACCCAACCCCCAAAATTAGATGAAGCAGTTATAGTCATTCTCTGCAAAAGAGGAAATTAACCAAAGTGTGTGTGTGTGTGGATGTGTGTGGATTTCGTTTATCGTTCATTTAATTTTTAGCTCCACATGCCATAGAAAAACAAGGAATACAGGTGAACATTCTTCATAATATATGCTCTTGATATTTAACTACTTGGTGAGTCATGTAACCTTGACTTTGATAACCTAATACTGTTGGTGAAGGAAGTAACACTAAATCCATTTTCCACTTTTAGAACACATGCTTCATCCTTGTCCAGTGTCATTAAATTCCTACATAATTTCTGCACCACATGAGGCATTTTATATGACAGATGACTGTGGGAATGTGGTTAAGGTCACATAACACATGTCATCTATCTTATCAGCATCCCTTGTCCCAGTCCAGATTTGATTGGGCGATAGTTAACTTTTATGGAATCACACTACATTTCTCCGTAGAATTAAGTTCCCAGTTAGCATGCAGATGATACAGGACTCGCCACTGTACTGAAGACCTAAAGGAAAGACCATGTGTCATTCCAGTCTCCTTCCAGTAATTTCCTTAAATCAGCTGCCTCTACAACCTGAAAGGCCATTCTTTTAAAACCCGATCACAAAGTGACCTTTTTTCTTTTGACCAGTTCAGGTAAGGTGACACTGTGGAGGGTTTATTGTTTCCTGTATTATTTGAAATGCAAGTCTTTTCAGTTTTCCATGTGCATTAAAAGTTGTTCTACTGCAGGATTCAAAGTACAGTGGGTGCTGATGGCTGGTTTGAAATGACTCTCCTAAGAAACCCTATCCTTGTAAGGACCCATTATTCTATTACAACATCCCAGAGGCATCTTAGCACCAGATACCTCCAGCTAAACCCATTCCAGTTCATTTTTAGGAAACCTAACACTGACCAGCTTTAGTGCGCATTGCTCCTGGCTGCCTGTGTTTATTTTTGAATACCCACTGTGCTGAGTTAGAATGTGCTCGTTCAAAGCCCTCCTACTTAGTCATTCTTTCCTCCTCTTCACACACACCCTCGGTGCACATTTACAGCTCCAAGTGTGATTCTTGCATTTTAATTCCTTGCCCAAAATAGCTTAGAGATGATCCTGTGTTAGAACTAAATTGCGCTGACATGCATTAGATAAACATAATAAAAAGTTTTCCCTTTTTGTTGTTTTTTGTTTGTGTGTTAAAGAAAACATTTAGCATCTTTAAGGGAACTGGGAAGAACTGTGCCTTGGGGCAGAGGGGCAGGTAGAGATCAGAGGGGCTGAGCTGAAACCGGGAGTGATTGGCTTGTTCTTAATTCAACTGTGACCCTGCCTCAGATTCTAACATTTAAGCTCTGGCTGCTTGAATCTCCATCTTTCTCAGAAAATGAAGATAATCCACTGTCTCAGAAATGACTAAAAATGAATAAAAGTCCTTCATCTCCATTATTTTACGTGGCTTGGTTCGTGATGATGCGCAGGCCACAAACTTACCTCCAGCTCCTGGACGAAGGCTTCAACTGGGACACAGAGGTGTAGTTTGTGAAAGATGCTTGGTTAAAAATAAATTAATGCTTCCAGGGGAGTTGTAGAACTTCCTGGCGCCATCTCAGCACTTGAGGACTGAACACCTTTCTTCTTTGACAAATCCAGATGTTACTTTCACCCTTCAGATAACTTTCTTAGCCAAGAGGGCAGCCGCCATGGTGGTTGAGTGTGTGAGCATGTCATCCAGTAAAGACCCCAGTGGAGATATGTAGGTGGAACTCTCCTCAGCCCTCCGCTGTGCTTTCTGTGCATGTTTCGAAAAGAAGGCAGTGAGGAAAGCTCTGGAGAGTCCAGGGGGAAGTGGTCCATTACAGCTTCTCCAGGGAGTGAGCATCCACCCTGCACGCCATTTCCCTGCCTGTCCCTGTGATTTCACATTGGCTCCCTTCCTAAGTGGCTCCACATGGTTCGTTCTAGTGCCATAAATCAGCAAGGCATGTATCAGCGCACCCAGACCCCAGGGAGGTCAGTGCTGGTCTCACTAATGAACAGTGAGCCCTGCTGGGCTCACCTTGCTGGTAGCCCCTGCGCTCCTCCCCTCCACAGCGGGCAGCTGTGCGGTCCCCACATCACAGATCAGGACCCTGAGCTGGGGATCGCTGGGGACTTCACTCCTGCCAGCAAACCAGCAAGCTATAGGACAGTGGGCCCAACTCAGACCTTCCTCACTCTAGGGGCACCTGCGTGTTCCCCACTATTGCTTCCTGCATTTCCTAAGTCAGGCAAAAAAGGTATGGCTCTAAAGTATGTGGCTTTTCCTTTTTCAGTCAGTCCAGATCTTTCATTAACTTGATAGCTAAGTTGTAATCCTCTCAAGCAAAGTTAGAAGTTGTTTTTGACATTCAGTGGTTACAACCCAATTCGATCACTTGGGTTAATAGACGGGACCTGTACCAAATGATTTGGGTATAATAGTGTTAGAATGAGGAAACTATGCTAGTCAGGAAAATCAAATTCGCCCTCAGAAGTTTGGTATCACTGATGGTTTTCCAGTGAGTGTGCCTTAAGTTCTGAAGGTATAAAAAATAGTTCTAAATATGTCATTTAACAATGTTCAGTTTTTAAAAAATAAATGTATAATTTCCCATGAACAGTACTCCAAGTTATATACAGTAATATATATATATTCTCATCAGAAGGAGTTGGCTCATGTGTGTGGTTAATGCACATTTTCCAGTCTGGATAAAATTGTGATTTTTTTTTTTTTAATAAAAACATCTGTAATGTGTTACTTTTGAAATTAAGGTCAGAAGTTGAAGAACATTTACTTCTCCCAGTCTTTCCTATGGACCCAAATGTAGTTCCAAATTGTGGAGAAGCAGCAGTCTTAGGGAGAGCAACTGACAGAAGAGTGAGACTAATTGTTTTCATTTTTTAAAAACCCTCAAGTTGCAGAAAGAAAACAGTCCCCGGAGAAGTGGCAGTTTCCTCTGTGATCAAAAGGAAGGCAACATCCGCCCCTTTGCCCACCCAGGAAGTCCCCGAATGCCCCGTCCCTTGGAGATGTGGCCCTGCGCAGACACCGACTCCACCCCGTTTGATGACCGGCCACTGTCCAAGCTGAAGGAATCGGACAGATGTTCAGCACGGGAAAACCTTTACTTGGACGCCTTGTCTCTAGATGATGAGCCAGAGGAGCCTCCGGCCCGAGGGCCCCAGCGGGAGTTCAGGAACTGCCTCCCCCAGGTCAGCCTGGGATTTGGGGTCCAGTTAACTGCTGCAGGACCAAGGGGTTGTCAGGAACCTGGCCACCTGGCCAGCAGGCTCGGGCTTTGCAAATCACAGCCTCTGGGTTGAGTAAGCATGAAACCTTCACAGTGCCAAGAGCTTTGCTTGGTGGTCCCGACCCCAAACTCCTAGCATGCGCTGCATTCAATTTCACTTGGCCAACATGTCTCAGGTTTGGAGACGCAGGACTGTGTCCTGTGTAAACAAAAGGTCTCACCCATGAGCGGGTCCAGTGGAACCCACAGGAGGAGAGAATTCATTCTGGGACGTATAGGTCTGCAACCTCTCTTTAAATCACAGCAGCCTTCTGATTCTAAACAACTTACTGGTAACAAAAAAAATCTGTTCTAAAGCAAGTACCTCACCCTGGGAAATAATAAGTGTCACTAAACAATGACATGCTATAAATTCTTATTCTGTGCAAAGGGGGAAAAATCCAACACTTTGAAGCTGTGCGTAAATTAGATCAGCAAAGTGGTGAGCTAAACTCTGGGCTGAGATTTCCACGGCACAATGTCAGGTTTTCCTGATTATGCCCTTTCAACAACTGGGTTTTAAAACCGGGTTGGATTTTAGGAATCATTACCTGTGAGTCAGTTTGACAGTTGCTGAACCTGTCACTTAACCTGTCCAAAGACAGACTTTGAAGAGTTCATGTCAAGTCGTGTTGAAATGTGGGGCAGCTAGATTTCAGTGAGGTGTCTCTGAGGTCAAGTACCTTCTCAGCAGTATGTAGCCAGGTGGCATGACATCACCAGGATGGTGCCCTGTTTGACCCTTTGGCAACTCCCATGGTGCAGTTGCATAGCAGAGAGGAAGGAGCCCATCCTGGCCCGGGTCCACCGTGACGGGGCCATACTGAGCTGCGCAGAGCAGAAGTTGTGGTCAGTCCACCTCTGATTCCACATGGCAGAGCTCACCACTGAGAAAGTGCTCAAGCCTAAGGCTGTTGCATCACCTTCTACAGTGAGGCTTAGACCAAGGGACATAGCTGCCCAACTTCCTCTCTCGGGGGCCCCATCTTCCCTTTCCCCACCTCCTCCTCCTCCTCTCTTTCTCTGTCTCTCTCTCTCTCACTCACGCGCACACACATACACACACATTCAGATGTGTGGGTTCTGGTTTTATTATTATATTTCAAAGGGCTGAGGGACAGGAACATTCCCGACCAAAACTTGGTCTTGGTGTACATTTTAAATGGTATTTTCCTATGGCCGAAGAGCAAAACAGATCATTTAGCACGTTGAAAGTGCCTGGCAGCCAATATTAACTGATTCAGACGATCTTATTTCTTCTTTATAGGAAGAAGAAAATCACAAGGGAAACCTTCAAAGGTAAGTAAGACTGATGAAAACAATAGTCGGCTACTGAAATTAAAACCTCTTGGTCTTAAAATTCCATCTTGTTGCCGCAGTCTGTGGTAACACTGTCTTGAGAATGACTTAAAGTAAGACTTCTGAATAAGTAGTTGCTTTATTATTATTGATTTCATAAATATGGCATTTTCTATTATTAGCAATAGAAAGGCCAGAGACACACTGTACTCATGTGGGTGTTAGTGTCATGGTGAGAACAGTTACAGTTGTGTATTGTGTATATAAAGGAATGTTATGTCCAGTGGTTTCTGGAAAGTCCACAGAAACCTCCCGCTTCTCATTTAGTCTGGAAAGACTCCCTCTTGATGTGCTGTGAGACATTTTATATACTGTGCATTTAAAGCTCTGCCCGGAGGATTTACTAAAATATTTCCCGGCAGTAAACCTTGAAGTAAATACAAAGTAAGTGATGTTGGTGATGTTAGTTATCGTCTATTTTAGGTCATTTGTATGATAGGATATATCTGAAAAGACATATCTAAGCAAATTTGTTTAAACACTAAAAATAGACAACTGAGTGGAAAGATTTCCTGTACACAGCCCCCCCACCCCCCAACCCCCCCACACATGCTTTTTCTTTATAGATGAACACATGCTATTTCCACCACAGGAAACTTCTCCTCAGGGCAGTCTGCTGTTTCCAGATCTCCTCATCCCTGGTTTCCCTATGAACTTCAAGTCCATAAATTACTGTCTTCTTCCCATTTTGCCCTGTATTTGGTTCATCCAAAACCACCCAAAATGCCTGTGGTGCATTTCTGTCCTTCAGGCTCTGTCTTGTCTGGTCATTCTCGGACAGTCCAGCGCCGCATTCGAGAACTAGAGCCTGGTTTCAAATGCACATCTGCCTCTTGCCAGCCATGTGCCCTGGGGTGAGTTAAGTAACACCCTGTGCCTCAGTTTCCTCATCTGTAAACAGAATGCTTTTCAATTTCTTTACAGCTTAAATGTGTTTCTACACATGAAACAAAGCAATGCCTGACACAGAGTAAACAGTCAACAAAGTTTAGCTATCTTCACAGAGCTCTTCCCTGCATAGTAGCTCTTATTTTTTTTATCTTTTTTTTAAAGTGTATTTATTTTTTGTAGTAATCGCTATACCCAACATGGGGCTTGAACTCACCACCCCGAGATCAAGAGTCATACACTCCACCGATGGAGCCAGCCAGGCGCCCCCTATTTTTTATATTAATTGCTGCTACTAATTTCAAAAGTCATACTTAGAAAAGTTCATCTTAAATTAACTTATATATCGGGGCACCTGGGTGGCTCAGTCATTAAGCGTCTGCCTTTGGCTCAGGTCATGATCCCAGGGTCCTGGGATGGAGCCCCGCGTCGGGCTCCCTGCTCCGCATGAAGCCTGCTTCTCCCTCTCCCTCTGCCGCTCTGCCCATGTGTGTTCTTTCTCTCTAGCTCTCTCAAATAAATGAATAATCTCTTTTAAAAAAACCTTACCTATCAAAATGTCCGAGGTAAGAACATGTGTTGTCCCCACCATCCCCTTCTCCCTCTTGCCTCTAGCAGTTTCCTGTCTTCCCTCTGGACTTTCTTCTGTGCACCTCACTTGCTGGCACGTTTCCTATGTGTCCTGGTTTTGTATCTGTCTTGCTTTGGCCATTGCTAAGGCTGACGTGTTCCCTTTCTCTGCCCACATCACCTCTATTCCATGAAATCCATCCAAGGGCTGGAGGCAGAAAGGCCCCACGCAGGTGCACTGGCTTACCTCTGAGGGTAGTTCCTCCGTGGGCAGAAACGGGGCTTAGATGAGCTGTGTCCAAGAAATGCAGAAAGGATTGGGGTTTCAGTACCTACAGAGCACTTCCAGCCCCCAGAGAACAGCGTTCTGAAGCTCATTTTTTCCTTTAAGATTTTATTTATTTGAGAGAGAGAGCATGCATGCACTCACAAGTGGGGGCAGGGGCAGAGGGAGAGGGAGAAGCAGGCTCCCCGCTGAGCAGGGAGCCCGACGCGGGGCTCGATCCCAGGACCCTGAGATCATGACCTGAGCTGAAGGCAGACGCTTAACAGACTGAGCCACCCAGGCACCTGAAGCTCATTATTAATTCAGCAACTCCTTGACTTGGCCAGAGGCTAGAAGAGAAAAATCACACTTACCGGAAATTGACCCATCCCTTCTATTTCTTTTTATTTTCAGTGCTAGTTGTAGCCAGCTTTCTGTTATTCACTGGGCCATGGGAGGGTTTGTAGATTATTTCTAACAAAAAAATACCACTAACTTTTGCCCCTAGTGAGAAATAACAAGATAGAAGCCCTACTGGTTTCATTTGTAGCCTGCTCTCTTTTACCAGGGTGGCGACCACAATGGCATGTGTCTCCAGGGTGAGGGCAAAGGCACCCAGGGCTTTGCCTGTTCTGTGGGCCAATCCATGCGGCACACAGACCCCAATTCTGGTCTCACCATCATTAATGGTTTCTGCAGTGAAATGTGGCCCATGTACTCTCCATCTGGGACCCGTTTGGCAGCACCTGTGCTGGTCTGAAGCCCTAGGTATTTGAACTTCTGTTTGGGGTGTGCAGATATGAATATGTTCTATGAGAAAGTGGTCCAGTTGCAGAGACAGTGAATCTGCGTATGCACCACCCCTGCCCCAGCAGGAGGGATTTCTGGCCAGAGGGTCCAGGCCTGAGCCTCCTTCCTGGCCGCCCCTGCTTTGCCCTGGGTGGGTTGACAAGCTGCCTGAGCGCTCCAGCAACCTCCTGTCTTAGCATTTTGGAATTCCCAACACCCCATACGGTGCCTGCCCTGGCCTATAGGAGGCAGTCAGAAAATTCATACCAAATAGAAATATATTGAATGAAAGCACATATATAGGGAGGAATCTACATCCAAATCCACATCCATCAGGCAGCACTTACCCAAACCTGGCTGTTCCTTTAGCTCACGCATCTTCACCCTCCCATGTGTTTGTGTGTCTGCAGGCATCTTCTTCTTGTCCAGGAATACAGGGAGAGCAAGAACACAAGACAGGCTGGGCTGTACAGGAGGGAGCAGGGGGAGGGAAGAACCGAGCCCTGGTGGTGGATTTCGACAGAGCCGGATGGAGTTTCCGTTTGAAGTCGTTTTTGGAAATTACATGCCCACCTGTCACACCTTCCACCTCCCTTCTTTGCTCCACATCTTCCATTTGGCCTCTGGAGATGGCAGTCAGTACAGTTGAGCCCTGAACAACATGGATTGAACTACACGGGTCCACTTAGATGTGGACTTTTTCCAGTAAATACAGTATAGTGCTGTAAATGTATTTTCTCTTCCTTATGGTTTTCTTAATATTTTTTTTCTTTAGCTTATTTTATTACAAGAATACAGTGTTTAATACATACACAAAGTATGTGTTAATAGACTGTTTATCTTATTGATAGGGCTTCCGTTCAACAGTAAGTTATTAGTAGTTAAGTTTTGGGGGAGTCAAAAATTGTACGTGGGTTTTCGACTGCACGGGGATTGGACCCCCTAACTCCTGTTGTCATTCAAGGGTCAACTGTACTTCACTGGAAATAGAGGATAAGGCTGGCGGGAGAACGGTCGTCAGGTGATAGCTGTGATGTGGTGGTATCCAACCCCCTCCGCGTATACCATTCGCTGGCTTGGGATCAGGCTGGGGCTGTGTTCTGTCAGTAATGCGAGCACCTACTGCAGTGCCTGGGACTCAGGAAACCCCTAGTAGGTTAGGAATCGGAGGCACTCATCAGCCAGGTGTCCTTGCTATGGAGCATCCACAGGCCAAAATGAAAGCATTCCAAAGTGGGTTTATATTTTATTTTACATTTTATTTTATTATTTCATTTCATTTCATTTTTTAAGCCCCAGGTGATTCCAGTGTGCAGTGACATTTGGGAACCACTAGGTTAAGAAATTCTCTACTGGTGGGTTTGGAAGTCACCTCTCATGTGGGCAGGACACGCGTGCCTGCCCCAGGTCAGAGGTGGCAGGTGAGCACGCTTCCTGGCTGGCAGGCAGCTGACATTGTCTTCTCTCCCACTTTTCCCAGGGCTGTGTCTGTGTCCTCCATGTCTGAGTTCCAGCGTCTGATGGACATCTCTCCCTTCCTGCCGGAGAAGGGCCTGCCGGCTGCCAGCAACAAGGAGGACGTCACCCCGCCCCTGTCTCCGGACGACCTGAAGTACATCGAGGAGTTCAACAGCAAGAGCTGGGACGAGAGGGCCCCAGAGCCCTGGGCAGACAGGACCGAGGGAGGGCGGGCAGGGAATGAGGCCAGTGCCGAGCCTTTCCCCAGCTCTTCCTGGTACCTCACCACGAGTGTCACCATGACCACGGACACCGTGACCAGCCCAGAGCACTGCCAGAAGCAGCCCCTACGGAGCCACGTGTGCACCGAGCAGGCTGGGCTGCGGGTGCTGCACAGCCCGCCCGCTGTCCGCAGGCTGGACAGCATCATGGCGGCAGGGAGTGAGGGCAAGGGCCGGTCAGAGCCCGAGTGCCAGTTTCCCACAAGCAGAGCCAGGGTGGGCGCTGAAGACACAAAGGGGGGTCCCTCAGAACATGTGCTTAGCAGGTGGCCTTGTGCCCCCTCCAGATACCCCCGAGACTATGTGGAGGGAGGGCTGCGCCCCCTCGAAAGTGCCCTCTGCACTCCCCTGGGGTTCGTCTCCCCACTACACAGCCTGCAGATGGCCAAGAACATGAGTGATGACATGAAGGAGGCGGCCTTCTCCGTCAGGAACGCCATATGCTCTGGTCCCCCCAAGCCTCCACTCAAGGACATGGCCTGCCAGACCAATGGGTCCCGAACAACGGGGACACAGACCATTCAGACCATCAACATTGGCCTGCAGACCGAAGCCCTGCGTGGCAGCGCCATCACCAGCAGCCCCCACAAGTGTCTCACGCCAAAGGCAGGGGGTGGTGCCACGCCCGCGTCATCTCCTTCCCGCGGCCTTAGGAGCAGGCAGGTGGCCCCCGCCATTGAGAAGGTGCAGGCCAAGTTTGAACGCACATGTTGCTCCCCCAAGTATGGGTCTCCCAAGCTGCAGAGGAAGCCCCTCCCCAAAGCCGAGCAGCCAAATAGCAGGACCTCCCTGGGGCTGGCTCCAAAGGGGTGCAGCGAGTCAGCCTGGGCCCGCTCCACCACCACACGAGAGAGCCCTGTGCACACCGCCATCAACGATGGCCTCTCCAGCCTCTTCAACATCATCGACCACAGCCCCGTGGTACAGGACCCCTTCCAGAAGGGAACGCGGGCGGGGAGTCGGTCTCGCTCAGCAGAACCTCGGCCGGATCTGGGCCCAGGCCAGGAAACCAGCCCCAGTTCCCGGGGACGGTCCCCCAGCCCCATCGGGGCTGGCTCAGAGACGTGGAGGGAGGAAGGGGGAGAGGGCACGCCCTTGAGGCAGGACTTATCTGCTCCCCCTGGTTACACGCTCACTGAGAATGTAGCCCGGATCCTCAACAAGAAGCTGTTGGAGCATGCCTTAAAGGAGGAGAGGAGGCAGGCCCCCCACGGGCCCCCAAGTCTTAACAGTGACAGCCACATGGGAGAAACAGTCAAAGCTGAACCAGGGTCCATTGAGGTAATAAGGCTGAGTATTCCAACCCTCACCCCACCAGCTCTTCTGTTTAAATGCCAGGAAAACATGTGTAAACCTGGGGTTTTGCTAGGTCATCTGATTTCAAGAATCCTTATCCATAACAGGTTCTTGTGAGCTGGGAAGATACAGGGTTTATGGGAGAATGGGATAGGCAGAAACACAAGCCCTGAGCTACTCCTAAAGAAAAGTTCATATTATTGTCCTGAGTGATCTCTTCTTGAAGATGTAGCTCGAGGTTTGATTCAGGTTCTCTGGTCTGGTGTAGGTGATTGATGCTCATCTGTCTATCTGGGCCTTTCACTTGGGGTTATAATTTGCCCTCTTTCTGTGTGAATTTGTGTCCTAGAAAAGTGTATGTGTGAAGTGCGTGAGAGTCCCATCAGGCCTCCTGCGTGCTCCAGATCTTTATCCAGGGCAACACAAGAGGTGTGCCGGAGAGGGTGTGATAGTGTGGATACTAGAACATCCTTCATCAGGAATGTAAGAGAAGGTCTGGATTCCAATGCTGACTTCAGTACAGAATAGCATTCCTCTGTCTCACAAATCCCATGCCCCCTGCGACCATGAATCTCCCTGGCCATAAAACCAGGTGAGACAGATGGATAAGATCAAAATCCTGCCTTCATACGATGTGATCATTACTATTATCCCCCTTACATCTCTCATCATCACACTATATAGGACCACACATCCCGGTACCTATTATTACTATGCGATTATTATTACATCCCCCTTAGCATTATTCACCGATCGGTCAGCGATGAATTTTGTTCTCACACGTTTCCACACGCAGTATGTCCATACCACACCACTTTAAAAACAATCCGCGTTTCCACTTCAGGAATGAGCGAAACAAAGCCTGACGGTAAAGCTGGGACCGAAGGCGTGGGGCTGCGGGCCTGATGCGGTGAGACCGCGCACGGTCCCCGTCTCCGTCAGACACTGTTCGGCCCGGGATCCCGCGTGCAGACTGGAGGGTGAGGCCGACTCACCACTAGCCCAGATGGACAGACCACACCCGTGGAATCCAGACACCCCTAACCATTCTCCAGGTGGCTCCTGCAGATGGCAAGGGTCGGAGAGGAGAGACACACACTCCCTGGGCTGCAGCCCTGCTCTCCGCCATGGCCTGGGCAGCCCTGGCTTCACAGGTGCGGAGACGAGGCAGGTGTGTTTCCACATTTCCCTGGTGGAGGGGTGGGGGGGTGGTCAGTGGCTTCCAGGCTAACCCACCAAGTGGTAGTCAGCTCAAAATACAGAGTTTAAACCACGTGAGATTGCCAGTGACCTACAGAAATGGCAATTGCCATTTCATTCAACCTAATATTGATAGTATATTGGCCACGTTCTGAACATACGAGTCTTTGTGATACAGTTGTTTACATGCTCTGAGAAGAACAAATACCAAGGTTGAGAGTTCTTGGGTGACAAATGGTGTCTTCTGCGGGCTTCTGTTACCCCTATCCTTCCAGGGGCCTGAGGTAGGTGACTCACTACTGCAGAGGGCTTATTTGTGTGAATGCCCCACCTTCTTCAGGCTCTGGAGGAATCCGGGGAAATGAGGGCTCTGTCCCAAAGCATTAACTGGCTGTGTCTGCAATGTCCATTAATGTTAGAAACTAAAGAGAAATTAATGTTTAGGAACCAAAAAGGGCTTTGAGTTACAACCACTGCTCCAGGCAATCTATGATAGTAGAAAGACAACCGCTTAATGGCTAAATCACAGCTCCAAGGCATGAAAACGGTTTTATAAGGACAGAACTGTGCCTGTCCCCCTGCCACTTGGGTCCTCTGTAAAGTGTCTGTTTAGATTTTCTTCTCACTGGGTGTGTTTGCTACCAAAGAGATGATTGGCCAAGTTGGGGGGATTCAGAACCTGTGTGGAGCCCTCACTGGCAGAGAGTAAATGTTGTGGGCTCTTTTTTCCTTTTCTGTTGGAATTTTGCTTCCTCTAGATTCCAGTGGAGTTCTTCCTTGTCTAAACTGACTTCCTATATTAGGCCCATTGGAAATCCCTTCCCATCACTCCATAAATTATGTAGTAAGTAGTTCTGGGTTTTCATTCCAAAATCACCAGAACTAATGCGGATTATCCAACCTGCCCTGAGCGCCTGGCTGTGGGCCCTTCCCTGAACACTCCGCCGGATGCCTGGACAGGGACCTCCCTGGCGGGGGGCACAACAGTAAATCTCCTTCGTCTTTTCTCGCTCCCGCCCCATGGCTATATTTATCTTCTTTTTCTCTTGAAGCTGTAGCACCAGCTCTACCCTGCAGAGAAGCTAAGAGGGGAGTTATGGGGTGAAAGAAAAGAATAATCTGGAAATGCAGTGCTATTCTTCCCTCCCAGGTCTAGTGGACAATACAAGGGGAAATTTTCAGCGTGAGCAATGGCCACGTGATCACTGTGACTAAAACAGACCATTTAATCCTCTGTTTCAAATCCAACAGTCATGTGACTTCCATCTCCATGCACGCCAAAGGGTTTCTGAAATGTGAAATGCTAAAGGGCAAATCAGGAAAGAACAGAAAGCAGAAGGGAGAGGTCTGTTGCTGTTCTGTCCTGAGAGTCCTTCTGTGCTCCAGACTACCTGGACCCAGGCAGAGAGAGGCCTGTGTATGTGCGAGGGCACCTGCCGGCTTCTGCGGGCCTCACGTTTCTCCTGATAGCTGTCCCTGGACCTGCCACCAGGCTTGTTGACTTTAAACCTTTACTGTTCTTTTTAAAAAAATACTTTCCAACCTACTTGCTTTTCTTTTCTTTCTCTGTCTGTTCTGTCCAGAACCAAACTGTCTTACTAACTGCCCCATGGGGACTCTAGCCCTGCCTGCCTCACGCCGTAAGTGCTTTCTTCCTTCTTTGCACACCGTCTGGAAAGGTCCTCTGTGTAATTTGGGGTTGGTATCTGACATTCAGAAATGAGGCTGAATCATACCGGGTAGATCTGCCCTGTCCACAGAGCCCGCCAACTGCTTGCACTGGCCTGGGGTCCATAAAATTCAGGGACCGATTGGTAGGCCTAGACATTCCAGAGATTTCTGCTCTCTGCTTTCAGAGGGGTAAAGGGATATTGGCCAGAGAGGGGACTTTCTCAGGCACAGAGGCCTAGCCTGTGGGGGTCTGTGAGCCCAGTGTTTTCCCAGTCAGCCTGCACCTGCTCACTGGTATTCTGGAGGCACATGCACACCACCAGATGCTGTAATGAGGTGTGACCTTAACACAATGAAGCTTTTCTCTCTTTTTCAACAACTGCACCAGAAGGAATAAATCCAAATGTATCTTGTCCTTCCAAGTGATCACCATAGGTGACATAGTAAGCACTCGATAAATATTTGTTGGATGAAATCAACAACAGAGCCATCCCTTGTTCCCAAAAAATAGCCTCAGAATTGCCGTCTGAGCCTGAATCGAGGCTAAAAAAATACCAACTTAGCATTTGATCAAGAATTAGTCGCCCACCCACCTCACCCACTGGTCTTAACTCGGAGTGCTAAATGCAAAAATGCGATTGGCTCTCAAAGACGAAAAAGATGCTCCCAAGATAAAATGGCCACATAGCCCATTGCAGTAGCCTCTCAGTGAAGGACAAGATCGTTTACTTGTCTGTGCTCATGTGTTACTAAAGAAAAAGCTCATTCTTGAACCCGTGGTCACACAGTTCTTCCTATAGGGGTTCACACGAGGAAGAGGTGGCACCACACTGTCTAATCAAAAGCCCGTTCTGGTTCAGCATCCACCAGGTGGAAAAGGGCTGCAGTGGTGTAGGAAAAAAACCTACGGTAGCAGCCATCCCAACGTTCAACACCCTGCCACACGTGTAACACACACCACACACTCATAGACAGCACATGCAGCACACAACACTCAGGCACAAGATGACCCACAACGCGCACACAGCGTATCCTCATACACGGCACATACAACACAACACTGCTACACAACATGATGCTACACATACACAACATACTTATACACTACACAACACACACACAATACAAACACAACACAACACACAAATCTTAATACCAGGAGCAGAGACAGAAAAAGATAAAGCGGTGGCAGATTTCCCAAGCCCCGCATCAGTGGCGCATGCTCATGGAAGGGCTGAGGTGAGGGCAGGACAGCTTGCCCCGCCTAGTGTGCATTTCAGCTATTTCAGGCCGGGCTTCGTGGGCGAGGTCTTCCTGGTTGCCATGGTTCCCATCAGCAGAGTGCTTTGCTAATCAAGGCTTCCCCATCCTCTGCTACGACGTGTAGTCACAAAGAGGCCCGGACGGTTAGGAGTAGTCTCCAGTGTTCATGCCATTTTCCGCTGGGCCCAGGGGGAGGCAGGGACCACCTCACTCCATCACTCTTCCAGAAGCACCACGCCGGTGCTCCACCTTTCGCCTTTCCTCTTCCCCCTCCTTCTCCCACTGCTCATCGACACAGCCCACCATCTGGTCTCTGCTGTCACTCCCTGCTCCGCAGACCATCCTCATCCTGGCCTCTGTGCGCTTGCTCGTCACATCTCTGTCAGTCCGCTGCCGCCCTTCCTGACAGGCTCTGAGCGCCTGTGTTCTCTGTCATTCTTCATTGCAGTGGCTTACCATCTCGGCTTTTTCTCATTTGAGTGTCCCTTGGGCGGCCGGGTTCCACCCCATGGAACTCACCGTTTCCTCACGCCCCCCACCAACCTCCCGGGCACCAGCATGCTCCAGGTATGGGCATCCTTGGTTCCTGTCTTACAGACTAAGTAGCTTGACACTCATTAACACTAGAAAAGGAGCACGGGCCCTTGAGAAGAAGTATGATAGGTGTTTGGCCCCCCTGTTGAGTGTGTCGTGCATGATCTGTTCTCAGAAGGTGTAGGATGCCCATGACAGAAGCACAAGCACTCTGATTCCACTTTTTAAAATGCTGCAGCAAGGAAGAGTCGTTAAAGAAAACTAGACCGAAGTTAAAATTTCTGCCTGCAGCATTTTTTCCATGTCGTGGGAGTTTGTTTAACCCACTGCCAGTCAACTTGGAATAAGTAGTAGCAGAGTTTGTTTTAAGGTGTCTTGTTGCTAATGCAGCTGGATAAATCCTGGGTCTCTTCATAGGCCTCCAACAAGACCAAAGCATAGGGAGGCTGGCCTCTCAGGGCTGGGTCACTGTGGCTAGTAGATCATTCAGGAGGGCCAAAAGGTTGGGGTCAGCTGGGTCAGGATGTGACCAGGTGGCCTGTGGCTTTCCCCACCTTCCATCGGCTCCAGCCCAGTTCTGAAGATGATGCATAAACATATTCTTCTCACAGCATTGCCATATTTTGATCATAATTTGCTATCTTCTCATTACTGTGCCACTGATCATCCGAGTTGAATTTTTCACTTAACATTTTAAATTATCCTCCCCGAGCAAATATAAATTAACATTCTGAAGTTGCCCCTGATCGATCCATTGCATTGACCTCGAGTCTGTTGAGAAGTGTGTTTGGGGAGAGTCACTCCCCCCCTCCCGGAGGAACTGTCAGTCTGAGTAACCCTGTCTTTCTCTTTCTCGGCTTTGAAGGAACTACCTTGTTCTGCACTAGCTCCATCCCTAGAACCCTGCTTCTCCAGGCCCGAGAGACCAGCAAACCGTCGCCCTCCGTCCCGTTGGGCCTCCCATTCCCCTACTGCCTCACCGGCTCAGTCACCCGGAGACCCAGCCTCGTTGGAGGAGCTCGGCGAGGAGGAGCCACCCGGGGAGAAGACACACCTGTGACGAGTGCAAGTTTGCATGGATTATCGGGGAATAATTCCCTGTAATTTGCATAACCACACCGTACTCATCAACCAAGCTCCGCCCACAAGAGGATATCTAGCTTTCCCAAGGTCAAAGAATGTTTTTTAAAAAACACACAGCTGCTGAATGTCCAACCTGTGAACCTGAGATGTTTCTAGAACGAAACCGTAAACGTGCCTGTAATAACTTAATTTTTTTCATAGCTCAGAAAACTATTTTTGTCTCCATCTTTTTTACACAGTATATTAAACAAAAAAAGCTAGATAAGATATAAATTTAAAAAATAAAAGTTTTAAAGATGTACATTTTAAGAGATTCTGAACGCCCTTGCTCTCAATACTGACTGCCTCTGTTAAATTTGCACTGTTACATTTTGGTTTGGTTTATTTCCACGTTGAATTAGACTGTTTTAAGTTAATTTTATTTTGTCAGTGTTTTTGTTTTTTAAGAATTTTTTGAAATGCTTCAGACTGTCTGATTCAATGAACTTTTTGTAGTGAAAGAGCCATGAAGCCAGTCGACAAGACAGAAATCCTCTCTACGGGAGGGGATACACATCTGCATTCTTGCAAAGGTACAGAGTCCTCAGCTGGGCTTACCAAATTCGCTGTATAATCCACATCCTCTACTCGACTTGCACGTCTTTGGGTTCGAAAAGCTGGGGTGCATGTACATACTGCTACTGTGGTCTCACCATCACATAAGTGTGAGTCATCTGTCCCACCATAATACATTGTGAATCCCTCATACTGTACTTTTATCATTGTCCTCTTGCATCGAGATACAACAGCAATGGCATTTTTAAATTATTGTTAACGATGAACTGGCAATATACAGTGTTTACTCAAAATTTTCTTGTTTAAGGAAAAGCACTACAAAAAGTCAGGAGGGTACCACACTGAATCAAAGGATGGTGCCTCGGAGTCTGTATGAGACCATGATGAAGTAGAAATAAAGCCTTTACAAGATGGCGGCCTGTGCCGGGACCTCATGTTTCACGTGCCCTGCATCCTCTCCTAAGGGCTCAAGTGACAGTTTTCCTAGCCAGGGGAATGAGGGAAAGGGGAGGTCCTGCTACTAACACACCTCACCTAACACAGCATGAGTGTGTGGTGTGCCACAGCTTCCCTGTTCTCTGTAAGAGCGTCCTGAGGTTGATGAAAAGGTGACTTCGTTGTGGTTGAAAACATGGCGGGCATGGAGGTGTGAGGGAACTGTTACCCACAAGTCCAAATGTTGCCCGGCCTCCCTCCCTCTCCCCTCCTTGGGAAAGTGGGAGTGGCCAATCACCTGGCCGGTGCTTCCCTCCCTGACTGAGAGATGTCACCCAGCCTGTCAGTAGGTGACAGAGTAGGGGTTTTTAAAGAGGTGATCCTGCCAAAGAGCATAAGAACTACTTCAGGCCGAATGTCCTTCTCTAGACTTGCTGACAGAATAAGCTCTGTTCCCAGTGTTACCACAGTTCCGCCTTTAAATATTTTCCCCCAAAATGGAAAATGCCAGCTATCGGTGAGAACGTGGAGACACTGGAACCCTGGGGCACTCCTGGGGCAGCCACTGTGGAGAACAGCATGATGGGTTCTGAAGGGAAACCAAATCATCTGTGCTCCAGCAGCTGTGGTCATAGCCCAGAAGAATTGAAAGCTGGGACTTGAACAGCTATCTGCATACTGATGTTCACAGCAGCGTGATCCACAAAGCCAACCAGTAGAAACAACCTGTCAGGGAGCGAATAAACGAGATGTGGTCTCTCCACACAATGGAATACTGTGCAGCCTTAGAAAGCCAGGAGATTCTGGCACATATGTGCTGCCTACCACATGCACCAGTCTTGAGGATGCTATGTTAAGTGAAAGGAGCTGCTCAATCACAAAATAACAAATACTGTATGGTTCCACTTCTAAGAAGTACCTAGAGTAATTAAATTCATAGATACAAAAAGTAAGATAATAGTTACCAGGTTACAAGGGGAGAGGAAAGAACAAGGAGTTAGTGTTGAATGAGTACAGTTTCTGTTTGGGATGATAAAGTTCTGGAAACAGATGGTGGTGATGGTGGCTCAACAATATGACTGTACTTAATACCCCTGAATTCTACACTTAAAATGATTAAAATGGTATGTTTTACCAGAATAACGATTTTTGATGCAAAAAATACTCAGCCTAACTACTCTAGACATAGGTGCAAACAAACTAACAAGTCAACAAACCTTACTTTTGTGCCTATCCTGTGCCCACGGTAAATGCTGGAAGGTGCATTAGTGTTTCTCCAGTTGGAAGCAACCAGCCAGCAGAAAGAAGGGAAACCGTTGGCACTCATAACTGGAAAAGTGCTAGAAGTGCAGTCACAATCCAGAGCCTCCAACAGCGCCATCAGGATTCTGCTCCCAACAGTCAGCTACAGTGGCCCCCAGGAGCTCCTATTTGTTGCTCAACTCCTGGAGAAAGAAGATCTCTTACCAGTGGCTCCAGCAAAAACCCCAGGAGTCCTAAGTCTCATGGGTCTCCTGTAACTCACATGTCGCTCCCTGAGCCAACTGCTGACAGATTTGCCCAGCAGAGAAGAACCAGGGGGCTGGCAGAATAGAGGCGAAGGTGCCTGGCAGGAGCAAAGGCGGTGTGCCCCAGAGAGAACGTGCTGTCTGGTTTCAGTGAGAAGGCAGGAGAGGTTGTTGGGTTGGGAGACCAGTAGGAGCAGAGATGGTGGCAGTAAGTACATCAGATGGGAGCAGTGACAGGCTCATGGGGCTGGAAGCAGACCCTGGAGTGAGCAAAGCCACACCATGCAGTGCCTTGAAAGCCAGTTTGGAACTTCTCCGACTGTCCAATTTTCTAATAGTTGGGGATATGTATGCTTGAGTCCATTTGTTGTGGAACTACTCCAACTCCTGCAAAAGCAAGACAGTAAGTCAGATGAAATCATGTTCTAGACTCCTGTCCAAATGAATGCCTTGGGCAGCTAAGTGGGTAATGCTGGGCTCTGAAAGGGGAGCAGGTGCATCAGGGGCCAGCCTGCAGGGAGTGTCTGTTAATGTCTTCAGGAGCTGTCCTCAATATGCCACTTGCTTTTATGTCCTGAAGAAAGAGGCAGAGGCAGATTCCTGGAGCCCAGCTAGCAGCCCTCACACGCGGGGCCTGCCCTGCCCATTGGGCTGGGACCAGCACCAGCCGCCCAGAGACAGATCTCCTCAAACTGTACTCGACCTGGGCTTTTTTTTTTTTTTTTT